TGCTATTATGATTACTATTTTGTCTGTATAAAGTTTTACGCTTGATCGTAGGGCAGCCTACGCACATATTTCTCTAACTTAAATGTTGACAGCTTAAATATCGCTCAATAATTAACTCTCTTCCTCATCTATAGACGTACTTGAATCCTATTAATATCCCTTGCCTTGCTCTACCTTTATTCGATTTGACTACAAATTTGCCTCTGTATTTGCTCACATATACTTAATCGCCACTCCGCTTCAAATCCGCTTGATGCGATTGTAGATCTGTGGTCTGACCTATCCGCAAACAAACTGTAGTTGCTGCTTGTCATTGCCTTTTGATTTCAAACGCCGTTGGAATTTATTTAATAGCAGTTACGAAGGCGATTGATTAACGAAGCTGAGCCACTACAGAACAAGGTCATGCTTATGCAGGTGTTAGCGATCAGTCCGTGAGAAAGATGTTTAAATCCACATATGTTTACAACGTCACGGTGTAGATGATACCTGCAAAACGGTTTTACACGTTTCTCGATATTTTCGATATTTTTACACCTAATCTGTATTAGTTTTTGTGCGAATCCTTTCTTGTTTTACCTCACTTTGATTTTCTCCCAGATGTAGTTTATTTCGGTACGGAATAACATAAATATCCTATTGCACCGAAGTTTAAGAACCTTATATATTTTATGAATAGGCCAAATCAGTGATAAAAGAACCGTGACAATCGAGAGTACAATTGATCAAGAATTCAGAAGTCAGAATATAAAATTAAACGAAACAAAAAAGAAAAGATTGTTGAAGTCTCAGTGACATTAAGGGTTTGGTCAAAATTCACAACCTTAGATAACATAAAGCCAATAATTGACAACAAACTCGGTGATGAACGTATTGTAGGTGAATTCAGAGTGAAACACAAGGTTGTTATCTATAACAAAAACAAAGAAATACGGGGAATGTTTACACAAAAAAGTTTCCATACACATTGGCATTCATCGACAAATCCTCTCCAGCTCCGCCTGAAACACTCGCTACTGCCGGTCCCAAGTCCGGATGAAGTAGGAGGGCCGAACGTGGGTTAGCGACCCCATCCCATAGAAAACCAATTCATTTAAAAGCGCTTGTAGTGGGCGTTGGGTCACGGTTGACTATGATCACCACTGCCGATAGACTATGTGCCAGTTACCAGGTTAGATTCCTCGTAGGCTGAATATCAGAAAGCAGTTGAGGGTTGCAGTTATGATGTATTAGTTGGCGATCTCTTGGTATCAAAATAATACCAAAATCGTACCAAAATCTACAACAGAGACTACTGAGCGTACGAGGTCTCAAAAACCGGAAGAGAGTTTTTTTGGTACACTTAAACAAACAGGTACAGTAAAACAACCACTGGTACAGTTGGTTATTATAATAATTGTTTCCATCATACCAATCGCGTTCTCTTCACTATACACTAATCAGAAAAAGCAATTCAGACCATTTAAACTTTGCCATAGGAGTCACAAAGCCTTCATTTAGAGGATTTATAACGCCTCATGAGGAAAGCCGAGTTCCTTCGGAAGTCACGAGGCCGATGACCCTTCTGACAACCAGGGCAACTATCGATTTAGATACATAGAATGCTCGTACAATGTAGGAGACCGGGAGAGTCATACAAACTGCAGAAGAAATGAAGATATATGACCCGGAGGTGCTTGGATTCAGTGAAACACATTGAAGCAGGTTGGACAAGAAAGACTAGCTTCAGTGGAGTTGCTGTTATACTCCGGCAATGAAGAAGAAAATGCTCCACATACACGAAGAGTTCCACTGATGCTATTCAACCAAGCAGGAAATGCAATTATAGGTTGGGAGTCTCATGGAACCAGGATCATCAGAGCCTCCTTCAAAACAAAGAAAGACGGCATTACAACGAAAGTCTGTAGAACTATGGTCTACTATGATATTAGTACTGCTCTAATAATAGACCTAATCCTAAAATTGTAGATTTCTCATGATATAACTACCTAATCTATAAGATCTTACGTGGAAGTCACACCATCGACTACACCAACTCACTGTAACGTATCAGTTACCAATACATGATGTAGAACAAGGTTAGGCTAGAGAAGGAACAATATATTTAATACGAATAGAAGATATAAGATAACATTCAGATGGACCACGCCTGCATGGCCGAGCCATGCCATCCGATCAACTCCAGTCCATTCAATTCATTGTTCGCGCCTTCGCCATCGTTACGTATTTCTCCGCGTTAAATATTGAATATCTATTTTCTGAGTAGTCTCGTGTTCACAGCTTTGTGGATTGTGTGGTTATTGTCCAATGCCACTTCAAGTCATCCAATGCTATGCGCCTACCAACGACTACAATGAAGACGTTAAAGATCAATTCTACGATAGGCTGAAGGCAATTGTCGAGGAATGCCCAACAAAGGACTTGATTATTCCGACAGTGGACCTAAATGCCAAGGTTGGGATGGACACCACCAGATATGAAGAAATCGTGATGCGACATGGACTAGGAGAAAGGAACGAAAATGATGAGAGATTTGCGAACCCATGTGCCTTCAATAAGCTGTTCATAGGAGGCACTATATTCCCACATAAACGCAAGCATAAAGCCACATGGATTCCACCGGATCACACTACACAGGAGCAAATCGACCATATCTGCATCAATAAAAGGTTCAGGAGGACGATGAAGGATGTGAGAACAAAGAGATGAGCTTACATCGTGCCAGATCATCACTTGCTGGTCTCCAAGATGAAATTGAAACCCAAGAAGCACTGGACAACGAGGCGGACCACATCACAAAAGTTTAATACGGCTTTTCTTCGGGATTCCGACAAACTCAACAAGTTCAAGATAGTCCTCAGCAATAAGTTCCAGGCCTTTCATGATCTACTCAATGGAGAAGTAACTACTTTGGAGAGCAACTTGAAGGGCATCAAAGAGGCAATCACTTCAACATGTCATGAGATCCTGGGCCAAAAGAAGCACCATCACAAGGAATGGATCACTGTTGATACACTGGACAAGCTTCAAGAAAGGATAAACAAGAAGGCAGCAATCAATATCAGTCAAACAAGAGCATAAAAAACCAAGGCACAAGCTGAATACACAGAAGTAAACAAACAAGTGAAGCGGAGCATCAGAACCGACAAACGTAAATATATGGAAGATTTAGCAACGACGGCAGAAAAGGCTGCAAGAGAAGGAAAATGAGACAACTGTATGACACAACAAAGAAACTCTCTTGAAATTATCGTAAATCAGAACGACCAGTGAAAAGCAATGAAGGCGGGATAATCACCAACATTGAGGAGCAACAAAACAGGTGGGTAGAACACTTCAAAGAACTCTTGAATCGACCAGCTCCACTGAACCCACTCAACATCGAAGCAGCACCCACAGACCTCCCAATCGATGTTAGCCCACCAACAATTGAAGAAATCAGCATGGCCACAGACAAATCAAGAGTGGCAAAGCAGCAGGACCAGACAACATTCCAGCAGAGGCACTAAAAGCAGATGTAGCGGCAACTGAAAAAATAATCCACATTCTCTTTAGCAAGATATGGGATGCAGAACAAGTACTAGTAGACTGGAAAGAAGGATACATGATCAAGCTACCGAAGAAACACTATATCAGCAAGTGTGATAACTAAAGAGGCATCGCTCTCCTTTCAATACCAGGAAAAGTCGTCAACAGGGTATTGTTAAACAGAATAAGGAGCTCCGTAGACACCCATCTTCGAAACCAACAGGCTGGATTCCATAAGGATAGATCCTGTACAGACCAAATCGCAACACTACGGATCCAATGGATTATGATGTCAACATCTGGGGAGAAGCACGGGATATAATGGACAACTAGGATGCAGTTGGACGATCTAGACTTCGCAGATGATATGGTCCTTCTATCCTAAACGTGACAACAAGTGCAGAAGAAGACGACCAATGTAGCAGCAGCCTCAACAGCAGTAGGTCTCAACATACACAAAGGGAAAATAAAGATTCTCCGATACAGCACAGCGTGCAACAATCAAATCAAAATTGACGGAGAAGCTTTGGAGGATGTAAAAACCTTTGCATACCTGGGCAGCAACATTGATGAACAGGGTGGATCTGATGCAGATGTGAAGGCACGGATCGGCAACGCAAGAGCAGCATATCTACAAGTGATGAACATCCGAAACTCAAAACAACTGTCAACCAACACCAAGGTCAGGATTTTCAATACAAATGTCAAGACAGTTCTACTGTATGGGGCGGAAACCTGGAGAACTACGAAAGCCATCATCCAGAAGATACAAGTGTTTATTAACAGTTGTCTACGCAAAATACTTCAGATCCGTTGTCAAGACACTATTAGCAACAAACTACTGTGGGAGAGAAAAAGCCAAGTTTCATTGCAGGAAGAAGCACTGGAAGTGGATAAGACACACATTGAGGAAAGCACCCAACTGCATCACAAGACAAGCCCTCACTCGCAATCCACATGGCCAATGGAGGAGAGGAAGACCAAAGAACACATTACACCGAGAAATGGAGAGAGACATGAAAAGAATGAACAACAATTGGATAGAAGTAGAAAGGAAGGCCCAGGACAGAGTGGGTTGGAGAATGCTGGGAGTAACAGGTGTAAGTAAGTGGGTAAGTAAGCAAGTGAGTATGCAACAAGACGTCTCTCACTAAGCTCTTTAACTTTCTGGATCCCAAGACAGATTACTTTCATTGGAGCCGAAATGCCAATAGGAAGGGATATCTCTGATATCATAAAAGATAATTCCCGAGTCTTTTAAGATACTATACAGTGTGATCCTGTAATCATGCTGTAATTATGAGTTCTATGTATCATTACTGCACACCATTTTTATCCTAGGTTTACTTATGCTAAGAGGAATAAAATCCTTAATGATCCGACTGTTTTTTCTATACAAGTCATCTTGATGAGTTAAAATATGTGAACAACGTCGTACCTTATTCCAATATTTCATCAATCAATAGTTAATTATGTTTACTATCATCGAACAAATCTTTAAAGTTAAAAATATCATTATTCTCAGCTGGACTGTAGAAGAAATTTTGTGCAAGTCATTATGGTATCATAATTTGGTTATAATTGAGATCAATTTCATTAACAGGAATAAATTCAATTTAATTTGGTTAGATATAGCACGGATATTCAGGGTTTGACAACGATTTTATCCGTAGCATCTTTATAATCAAAAAATATCAACCCAATCAGATCAAAAGTCAGGAATGTATATTTACATGACAAATTAATAATGAATTATAATAAACAAAAATACTATATAAATTAAATAGTAGTATAAGTTGTTAACTTTTCTAAATCATTAATTATAATAATAGGTATAAACATATTACAGCATTAATTAATGTACCATCTTTCAGATGAATATTGTTTTACTGGAAGTTATATATATATATATATATATATATATATATATATATATATATATATATATATATATATATATATATATATATATATATAGTTTCAAACAAATTCGTTTACTATAATATTCCTAAATAACATATAAATGAAAATGTGTAAATAAGGCGACAATTGACATATTCAATATTTTCATATAATCTCATAATAATAATAATAATAATTAATATAAACAAATTGGTCATTTTTAATTGATTAAATTAAAATTTCACATCACATAAAACGCCGGTTAATAAATTTTTAATACTGTTTTGGTTGATATGCCTTTCAATCGAATGGACTCAACTCATAGGAATTAATCTAGATACCTTTGTTAAAAAAATATAATAATAATAATAAATGATTCACTTGGAATAATGAATAAAAATTGATTGTAATAATAAGTATACTTATACTAATTCTCGGCTGTTGGTATGTTAAAGTAAGTTAGAATTGATTATTATTTATTATGAATAGTTATATCTTTGATTTAACGATCCTAGTATGATTAAATTACATAACATGATCCCTTTCTTTTTGAGGGGGGGGTGGGTGGGTGGGTAGTGGTGAAATTCTGTGAAAATTCATCACAAATTACATTATAAACTAATAACTAACAGAGTATATTTTATAGTTTGTATTACATAATGATCTTAAATAACCGTTAAAAATCAAAGAGTACTATGCAGATGTTTTTTATGCTAATATGGGACTTCTCAACAATGCGCAATTATTACCCTACCAGGGTGTTGAACACGAGACATTCAGATCTTGCAACAAGTGTTTATTTTAATCTAGCGTCTAATGATTAACATTTATAACTTTAGTCAATTCATGATACTGCGAAGTCATCTATAGGTGCCTACATATTTTTATATTTAAGGAGTGATGTATTATGAGAGAGAAATATTATGATTCTAAATGATGACATACATTGATACTGTCTAGGTCTCTACAATTCTGTAAATGAAAAATAGCTTATAATCATATGTCGGACATATAACTGTAACAAATACTTGTTGCAACACGGCAAGCTGCAAGAAGTCAGAAAGGAAACATTCTAATCGAATATCGTATAACAACAATTCAATATAAGCAGTTGCTAACTGATTTAGATTTTGTAATCCATAGATTGGCTTAAAACAGACTGTTTTTCCAATATAGATCTGGTCAGGATTTTAGTAATTAAATAAAATCGACAACCAAAGGTTAAGCATTTAGTCCGACTTGAGTTTAATGTTTTTTTATTTCATTAATTCGTCTCCCTATCCCTTGACATAAATTAAGTTCAGACGATATAAACTTATTAATTCATTGAAAAAAGCTATTTCAGATAAATAAGCCTATATCTGAACAGAGGAGTTCTAGTGAGGGGCTGTGATCAGTTGAGTTCAACCAGTTCTGTTGTGAAGTAGCTACTCACTGAAGACAATGATGGACGGTGGCTTGATTTCGTGGATTGGTTGAAGTTAGACATTAGCACCACTGGATGCCGACTCAGTGGTCTAGGTGTTAAGCAATCGCGCGCGAGACTGATAGGTCTTGGGTTCGGATCTCGAGAGGCGGGATCGTGCCTTCACACTTCTGAAGAGTCTCATACTAGGACGAAGCGGCCGTCCAGTGCTTTCAGGTCTTTCATGGTGATCTAGCTTTAATCGACTCATGAATTCAACTATTAAAAGAATATTTACTGGATCTGAAACAATAACTAATCACCGTTCTGTTATTTCATATCTATTACATTGTCAGTAAAGTATGTTATAAGTATCTACTATCTTAGTAACATCTTTTGTATAATGTTTTATGGGTCAATGAAATTTTCACAATTCTCAAACTTACTACTTTGATAAATGTCAATAATACCAACTATTAAGCTTATGCTGTGTAATGTAATGGACATATTACCATGAGTAATATTGAAAGGTTTAAATGTTATACTTAAAAGAAGTATAAGTTTTCTTTGGGGATGAAGAATATCGGAGATATGTTAAAGAATTCAAATAGATACAAGACCTTATAGAAAATTAAGTGGCTGAAATTTCTTTAAAGAATCATAATAATGAGACATACAGCTGTCTGTTTATAATATTTCGACCATAAAATCTTACAATCAGATGGTTTATTTTAAGTGAAAGTGTAGATATATTGTGATAATTAGTATACATATATATCCTTATGTTATGCGAGTAATCATCTGAAGTCAGTTTGTACAATGTAGTTTGAAAAAACTAATTTCTAATATCATTAGTTGAATATCATTTTATACAGCAAACGTTTTTTCTATTTTGCTTGGAATACCGAAGAAAAACTCTTAGGTGACAAATAAATAACTAATGGACTCATTTCAATGTACATCTATGAGCGTAATAAAACCAATTTAATATTATATGAACAAAACTATTCAGTAATTCATTAGTTAATGAAAATTCAGTATCATAGTTCTAAAAGAAACATCAAAATTTAGTTTGTTACTAACTTCCATTTAATGACTGATGGTGGTGTATTTCTGAGAACACTTAATATGTTATGTAATAAACTCATCATTCTACAGTGTTGCTTAATTGAAAAAATAGAGTTATTTCACTCATATATAAAGGTATTTTGAAAACTTTAATGAAGCATTTACACATTTATGAAATAGAATATACAACAAAAATATCAGATTTCTCTCTAAAAATAATCAAGTAATATTTATATGATGATTTGAAGTTCGGATTAATTGTAAAAAGTACTTTTGTAACGTACATCTTTATGGCTTTGTGTATAAATGTACTCTCTCTGTGCATTGATAATATCCTCCATAATAATTTATAAGGATCTGAGTAAAATTAGGTTTTTATGTTTCCTCAGTTATTGGATTCTGTTAATAATAAATATAATATTTTGTTATATCCCAATGAATAGAGAAATTGTATTTCGTGACTTGATGCGAGCCACTTCTTCAGAATAAACAAAACAAACAAATTAAATTAACATAAATATAAATAATACAAAGAGAACATACTTGTGTTAATTTAATTAAGTTATTTATTTACCCTGAAGAAGTGGCCTACATTAAGTCACGAAACCCCGGAAATATAATTTTTCTACTCATCCGGATATAACAAAAAAATATGTTTACTATTATCTTTATACTCATTACTCAACTTATATGAAAGTATCAAGTTCAACCTTGGCATTGACACCTATTTAGATTTTGTTATTTTATTGAAAAAGATGTAATTTATAATTTTTATTTCATTTTTAGACTGCTTCCGTCAAAAATGATGATAGTAATGATGTGGAAACGTCTGAATCTAGTGAAGTTACAAATACTTTAGAATACGAAGGAAAAGAAGATGAAGTAGGTGAACAAGATAAAGTCACAGAAGAAATAGATTTTAATTCAATAGAATTATACAATTCTTCGGGTGAGAGTTTATTGTTTTATCCAATTTAATTAGGAATAACATGTAAATCACTATGTACAATAGGATACCAAGAAATGAACCATAAAACAATCAAATTAAATCGTTATGATGGAAAAGAGGACAGAAACCATACATTTAGCGAATTGATAAATAAAGTAATATACACTAAGAGATACAACTCAAATAATAACACAGTCAAGATAGATTTCATTCATTTCTATTATTCGCCTTATTGATGTAAAGAATACAGCAGAAAGCTACAGTGGAATTATTGGTGAATGCTGTTCCGAGTAATTCTTGATAATATATCAATACACAGAGTTTCGGAGCTTTAAAGATTGTAAAATAGGAGTCGTCATGGGCCAAGGGATTCCATCCCATTCTGATTATCTCTCATTTCACTAACCTTTAACATGAACTAACTACCCATACTTCTTTTAAAGGTATGGTAACCAAAAGGTTGGCATATATAGAATATGATCATGATATTTAAGCCTATCTTTCAAAATAGTAGAACTATTAAAATTCCCAACTTCATCATGTTCAAATGCATGTTGATAAACCTTAAAAATGTATATATTATACGGTTAGATTACTGCTTGTAAGTAGTCATTTGAGCCCAACTATGATCAAACTCAGAAAGCTCTCAGACATGAGCTTGTAATGAGTAAGTTTAATGGCCATGAGGTATGGCTGCTAGCAGCGACACATTTTACAGCCAGATTGCAATTGGAACACCACAAAAGAAGACCAAGATCGATATGAAATAAGTTCGAAACTATAAGTATATATTTTGTTTAGAGTTGTTTTTAAAGTATCATTACTGATGAAATCAATGAGAAACTGTCAGATAGAACAAGTTGTTCTAACCTCACTTCTGGTTTGAAACCATAAAGAAAGTTCATTGTATCCCCTCATTGTTCAGTAAGTCGTAAATGGCTTAGGTTTAGAGAAGCTTTACTGTTTTCTACCTGCACTATGTGTGATAATGTTCAAGCAATTGGAATTTAGTAAGAATATGATTCCAGATTTGAACAACAAAGCAGCATCTTCCTAGTAAGTCATGTACTTGAGAGTGTATGATCAAAGAAGTAAGCAATTTATACATTAAACATAACAGATATATCTTGATTACTGCGTTGTGTAATCTATCTTTAAAAAAACTTACGCAAACAGTTAATCTTGGAAGATTAGAACTCTCATAGCTTACCATATTCTTTCAGGGACTCTATTTGGTTCCTTAACCAGCATTTCACGGATAACCTGGAGAAAGGACCAAGAAAAAGCTTTTGATCCCCGTTATAGATAATATGTGAAAAACCCGACTATTCTCTTGGTCCTTACTTCTCAAGGTAGCTAGCAATAGTTTGTACTTCTCTGCTGTTGTTACTCAGGACTAAGTCCTTGGCAAATCTACATATATTACCCTCTGATTACATACTTTTAGTTAAACTATGACTAGCAATGGAATTCATAACACGTGTTTCGTCCTATTTGGGACTCGTCAGATAGGCAAATTGGCTTCCAGCTGTTGATGTTCACAGTGAGATCCGAACATGTCATCTGTTGCTTTAAACATCAACGGATTATCCACTAATCCATTGAGTCCAGACGAACTTTGACCTGTTTAACAAGTTTTGAGTTATTAGAGGAAATTTTTATTTTTCTGTTACCGGTATTTGGGACTTCAGTTGATCAATGTAATGATAAAGATCTAAATTCAGAATAAACCTTTCTTAAAGTATCATCTGAGCTGCATTTCGTCAATTTTCTCAATTACATGTAGCTTGTTGCAAATGAAATCAATGTGAACGATTGACTGAGTGTAAATTTATGCATTTGTTTGAAAATATCTGAATACCATCAATATAAGAAACTATCAAATGTTTTAAACTGACCACTTGGTGTTTGAAAATTAAATACTTAAATTGTTGAACTTCAGTTCTCACACCGTCAAATAATAACGGTTCATTTAACTGGTTTGTTAACATAAAAAGTAATTAAGATTTATTTCTTCTATTTAAAAGGATATAGTCTACTCTCAAGCATTATATTAAATGATATTGAGAAATGTATTTCATCAATATAAAGCAAACTATGTTTAAACTTTTTTTAAATTTCAGCTGATGAAGAAACTCAATTAGAACCATTAAACCAAAATCAGTAAGTTATTTATTGGATTATTGTGATTAAATACTTCAGAAAGTGGCATCAATAAGTTGTAGTGAAGATATTCTTCTCAACAATATAATTCACCGATAAACATTCGGTCGTATTTGTAGTTTTTTTATGTACACGAATCTAATAATAAATAAATAATAGTCGTTTCAACCTTGATCAGTATTCAAAAATGATACCTTCACTTTCTCATCTTATATTAGTCCTAGTAATCACCACATTTTGTCTTAGACGTTATCATCACTCACTTGTTTCTTCTTCATTTTTTCCTTTACTTTTACATATTCATCAAGTGGCGAATTATCCTTCACATTAAACAACTTGATAACCTCGAGTAAAACTGTATAGCTTGAATAAAAATGACATCGTCGTAAGAAAAGTTTTCTTCGTTGAATTATCTTAATTGTTATATGCAAAGATGGATAGTGGCTATCAGTGGAATCCAGAACTCAGGTTTCGTCCTATTTGGGACTCGTCAGCTGGATATACATGCACCTCAGAGTTGATGTTCCCTCTGGGGCTCTAACTCAGTACCGTTCGCTTCAAACGATATCGCATTATCCACTTGGCTGCTGAGTCCTGATAGCCACTTGCTTGTGAAATGGGGTGGAGTTTAAATCCACCTGGTATTGTTTGTTTGAATTTTCACATTGATGTTTAGGACTGCAATGGATCAGTCACTTATTAGCATATGTACATACTATGCGTACTGTTTCAATATAGCCTTAATTCACAAGCATTATATGCAAATATTGATAGTGGCTAGGATGCGCGTTTCGTCCTATTTACGCACAGTATGCCAATATGTGACTGATCAATTTCAGTCCTAAACATCAATGTGAAGATTCAAACAAACAATACCAAGTGTATCCTAATTGTTCCCTAATTTTGCAATGGGTTTCTCCCGTTTTTCCAATGATTTTTATTAATGGCTTGTAGTTTATTCCAAAATGATCATTTCATTCTACTTCTTTTGCTTTTGTTTATTTTCAAATTTTTAAGACAACTCATGTTGTCTACCTTTGTTCATCAGTTTTGGCTCATCTCTAAGAAGATGATCAAGTAAAATGACAATAATTTTATTAGAGACTCAACAATGAAATGTGTTCACGCTCAATGTGAATCTTTGTGGAAAATAAATTATTGCCTCCATTAAAACTACTACAACATAAATCCTAATGCAATAACCAGAACCATGAGTAGAGAAAAGTGTGGCAGTTTAGTAAAAATATAATAGTTTCACTTTTGTGTTTCATCAAAAAGCGCAAGAACTTAATTCAAAAGCGGTTATATTAACAATAAACTGTTATATCATTTTTGCAACCCATTATAGTCAATAATGATCAGTTATGAAACTTTACCACTGATAAAACTACCCAAGCTCTTATGAGAAGAAAAATTCAACCACTGTTAACTGGAGAGACTACTATGCTAGGAAAATTATATTAAGTTTGGTTTGATTTTCCATTCGACAAGAAAATATAAACATTAGTTGATTTCACGTGATCTTGATTCCAGCTTATAAACTGTCTCGTTAAGGTTAGGAAAGCAACATATTGGACACTACTTCAAACTCGAAAAAACGGTGGCATAAATTATGAAATCATTTAATCAGAATAGAAAACAACAGAATCATTTGATTGAATATATCATAATTTATTGAAAAGTATTAACCAGTAAATACATTGAAAAGAAGCGAAACGCTTTCCACCAATCATTCCGTGTAAACGTAAAGCTATATTTACCCAACATATTCCTTTCATATCCAAAGATAAATCTGCGAAATCAAGTTAATGTATTATAATTTAAGAAAAATTTAATACCATAAACTAAAGCTGTATTTATGAGATGACCTTTGAGATTATATGACACTTTACAACTTAATACTACACTACATACAATCTTCTAGAATTAGTGAAGAACATTATGAATGATTAGCTCTTTTTCACATGCTAAGTTAACTTGGATTATGTTAATTACTGATGAAAGGAAACAGTCAAAATTATTTATTTTTCATTATTCAAGTTTATATTTTAGCACCCTAAAGTTTTCAACACAAATCAGATACTTTAATGGTTATTTATGACTCATTATTTATTACTTGAATAAAGTCTTCGATGGTTAATATAAGATGTTTAAATGTACTCTTGAAACATTTTATATGGGTTTCAAGAGGTGATTTCAAGGACTATATCTAAACAACAGAGTTTATTAATCACGCATATATGACGTGAGCAAGATTTCTAGTTTGAAATCGTTGTAGTTGATACGTTTAGTATAACAGTCGAGTCCAAAATGTGGATGATATGTACTACTGAGGCAAAAAGTGATGAGCCGTCATTTTATAAATAAATAATATCAAGAATCCATTTTAGAGATTTGGAATGTTAGGCTATTCACCACTTTGAAATTATATCAGTAAATGAAGTCAGTATGAAATGAGAAAATAATTTATTGAAAACATTTTTATACGAAAGTAACTTTTGGTAGCCATCAGAAATTAGCTGATTGATTCATGAAGATTTTCTGAACTTTTTATGACATAAGTAGATCTAGTCTACGATTGACATACCTATTAGATATACTGATGATGATATACGGGTTTATAAAAAGCAGCTGCTTCTATATACATTACTTTTGCTTTTAATGAAAGAGACTTGGGATTAGCTGAAAAAAGTGAAATTCATATTCTGTGTTCAGTTATGACAGATATTGTTATATCTAGAAGGTTTTTCTTGATATACCGCATATAACGTGAGCACCAGAACGCCAGGACCCTTCCAAGTTGCAATGAGTAGACGGAAGACTGATGAAAGGAATACTCCCAGGCAGTGTCAATTATGGTACAAAATTGTCGGGTATTTATAGTTTTTAGTAAGAACAAAATTATCATTACAGTCCACCAATCAGCATACAGGGGTTATTAGCATTATCCGATCGGGAAGCTACGCGTAGGAATTCTAGAACATTCTTTCAAAAGGTGATTGGATGGAATATCTTCGCCTCCTTATGAGTCTCCTACAGTTTCATCGAGTTCACCCGCGGTCCGTCGTCACAGATATACTAATGGAATATAAATTCAATAGAATTTAAACTTTGTAATGGTTAATTCCGGAATTTTTCGACACAAATGAGAGATTCAATGATAAGTTTTTGAAGCTTGTATGAAGTAAGCATGAATAAAATAGAAATATAAGTCTAGTTTACGTTCGAAGTGTAATAAATTTATTTCCCTTTTACAACTCAAAACTAATGGTACTGACGAAATGGTTGTTAAATGTTAGTTTTTGATAATCTAATTCTTGATTTTAATTCAACATTGTCGATCAATTATTGATGAATATGGTGAAACTTAATGAAGCATTACGTATGTTAGTGGCTACACCGTACTCTTAACAAAATATGAGTGCTAAAAATACGAAATGGGAATGAATCTAGATTTTTGGATACCTCTATACGACCGAATTCATTGTCTGATGAGGTTTTTTCCTAATATCCACATCTTTACGAAATCATATAAGGTTACAGATTGGTCATAATGATGAGCTTTGAATCATTTGAAACCTAGATGCAAATCACCTTATCAGCTATGTTTATTATCTGAAGCTAAACACAACTAATAAGTTAAATATATTTCAAGAAATAAAACATTCTTCTTCCAGCATCTATATTTCTCCTCTCTTTACAGGGTTGAGATTCCAACAAACGGCTCGAACGACAATGAAGAAATAATTACTGCTCTACACATCAAATCAAGTAACTTTGAAAATGAAAATGAAATCGTTATTACAGAAAGTAGTGAATCACAACCATTACTGAATACGATAACTGAAGAAACCTTATCTTTGGTTACAACGGATAATAATCTAGATGTTTTAAGTCCAAATACTGATGATCACATACCTTCCAACCACTCTATTGAAACAGATGAAAGTTTTTATACTGAGTATATGCTAGAATCAAACGATATTGTCGAAATACCTGGTCAGTCGCAAGAGCACGTTGGTGTAACAGAAGAAATCTTAGGAAACAAAAACGAAACTATTCCGGACAAACTTGGGGAACTTGAAGGCACTGATCAAAAATTAAATCAAACAACCATAGTGCCAGAGGTATTCACTAATGAAATGGAAGTTTCAGCGAATACAGACAAATCATCCTCAGCGTTATCCAAACAAGATATCAAAGTTACTGAAATTTTGACTGATAACATCTCTTTAAGCTCATCATTACATAATGATACCAATACCAGTGCTCATGAGAAGTTATCTGTAGTAAAATTTGTAAGTATCTCCACCAACCATCAACCGATTGAACGAGCCTACGAAAGAAACGTCTTGATAGGTATGTTTGTCCACCTACTTTCTATAAAACTTAATATTTCAGTTATGTTTTCACTGCTTGTTTTACATTGGAAAATTTATTTTACTTCAGAGGGACATAAACGACTACTTATCCAAATATACTTTCAAACATACTGTTAATTAATGGGACTAATTTAATCATAGGTTCTTCGACACATGAATTTCAAGCATTTTTCGGGTAATATTTCAGAACATATCATTAGTAGATTCCGGATTGCGAATTCCAGTCGAGCTGTTGGGTTCATTAATCTGTCGTGGAACTTCTTAGAGCTGATACCTATTCTTCGTACACCACCCGTCCTGATGACCTTTATTAAGTTACTCTCAACGGTGTATAATTTTCAGAAAAAAATATGAAGCGTTAACTACGATTTGTTATTGTACAGAGTAGATCATAAAGCCACATGTACACGAATCGGATAAGAACAGAAATGTGAATGTGAATGAATGAACTTCAGAAGCACACACATGTAGACAAGTAAATAAAACGTCGAATAACCTAAGTAAATAACAATTATGCTAGTAAGAGAAAAATGTAAGTAGGCTTTAATACATGATCAAGCATAGGTGCTCATATAAAAATGATGATAAGCATACAAAGATATAGACTGATTTTTATTGACTGAATGACACTGTCTGTTAAATAACTTAATTGGTCTTAATAAAGTTAAATGTATGCGGACTCAAGTAAAAGTGAGATTTTATAAGCCTTCGTAAGTTTTCATCCTTATCAAAGCATTTTAAGAAATCTAATGATTCAGGTAGCATCCGTCAGTTGACGTTGAGCTATTGAAGAATTACTGGATCTGGATATTGGGAATGTAACGTTATACCAAATTATACAAAAAGTGATTTTACTATGAAAAGTACTACTGCAGATGATGAAAATCACCCATACATTTAAGCGCTAAACCACACAAATAATTAACAATTGTTTCATTCTATTTTATACTTTCCCAGAAAATTAGGAGATGAACATTTCTAAAGTTCACAGTTCCGGTGCTTATTCACATCTAATTCCATGTCTTAACTCCAAGTAATTTAGAACTTCGAAACCAACTGACTAACCCTAATCTAAATATTATCCTCACTTCTTATTCATAACATATATATTAGAAGGGATTAACAATTATCTACCCTAAAATTCCCACTTGTATTATAAATGAAGGATTTCATATCATTTTTTAATGCCACTTATTACAATCAAATGCATTTTTCGTCTAAACCTGAAAGTAATTTCTACTAAAAATAAATGAGCGTTTCTATAAATTGTGACTGACTACCTGAAGGAAAGACAGATATATAGATGATCCTATCTTCTAGGTTTAAAGTTTTTAACGTTAAACATGAAAGTAGATTATTTTAGACTTTCCTAGATATATAACTGGTTTTGCAGATGTCATCATTACGATAGTATGTACTTGCATTAAGTAAATGAATATTATTAATCACTTTTATAGTCTTAAGCTTGTAGTCTAACTAACACTAACACGTTCACCTGTTTTCTAGTATCTATCTATGAAAACTGCTGATAGTCTCTTAGTAATTTTGAAGAAAAGAACAAACCATCGTTTTATTTTACCCTTTCTGCTTTACTGCAGTAGTATTTTCAAAAACGTTTCTACTGAATAGTTTACAGATTATTATTCTGTAACAATAACGAAACTCTTTCTGTCAAAAAATCGTTCTTTTCGATAATAACTTTATAATGTCTTAACGTTGTACTCTCCGACAAAATTAATTTACTGTATATGAGGATAGGTATTTTTGTCCCAGTTATAATTAAACTGGAATAGCTACCATATTCTAACTAATATCATTTAACTTATCGTTTCTCAAGATGAAATTTATTATTATACAAATAGTTTGTAGCCAAAGAGATTGTGATGAGTTAATCAAATAGAGTTAAACATAATCAAGTCATGACTACAGACAAACGTTCATAATTCGCATGACTAGCGTTCACGAAAATCTTATTTCATGAAGAACCAAATATCAGTATTGCATAATAACTACATATCATTATATTATGAGTTGCTAACAGTCGATGCTATCCAGTCATCTACATACCATTAAAATGAAATTATTGATTGACCGACCGAATGAAAATTCCGACAATATTTAAATTGAATTCATGATCTTAAAAAAAAGTTAAGTCAATCATCATATCAATTGTTCTAATTATATAAACTTAATCATGTGTGATGAACACTACTACCGTTTATTTTGTAAATTTATCGGCGACATAAAATATTCGTACATATAATTAAGGTTAACTATATTCATAGAACTGTATGACCTTGTAATACAATACTATTTCCTATTTAATATCAGATGGGTTTTGTGGATATTATAGTAATTTCAATGGTTAAGGTCATGAGTCAGTTGAAGCTAGACCACTATGGAAAACATGGAAGCACTGGACGGCCATTTCGTCCTATTGTGGGATTAGTTGAAGTTGGACATTAACACTGTTGGATGCCGGCTCAGTGGTCTAGTGGTTAAGTGCTCGCACGTGGAAGCAGTAGGTCCTGGGTTCGAATCTCGCAGGGGGTGAGGTCTTTGACGCGCACTGCTGAGGAGTCCCGCAATAGGACGAAACGGCCATCCAGTGCTTCCAGGTTTTCCATGGTGGTCTGGCTTCAAATGACTCATGATCTTAACGATTGATGTTTCCTATTTGTACGAAATATATCTACGAATGTTTTTTCACTGATATTACAGGGTTAGTTACAAAGTTCAATAAGAAATGTAACAACAATTAAGAGTTTATGCATTACATATATACAAATTTTATTTTAAATTAATTTAATTGTCATAAAGTCTTTTTCTATAAAATAAAGTTTCCCATTATTACCTCAACAGTTTTATATTTATGAATAACTTAAATATGCTGTTGTTACCACGTTATAAGCATAAAGTCACAAGCTCAAAAAAGTTTGGAATATGATGTCGGAAAAATGAAACTTTCTTATCAGATATCATCTATAGTTGAAAGATATCTATTTATGGACTGTAAATTAGCAGTTAAGTGGTATTAAATTGAATCTAAAACTAGAAATAAACCATTTTATTCTCCAAAGTTTTAAAATATTAAACTGCTAAAATGAGCACACTTTTATATGCTCAGGCCTTTGTTTTCAACCTTCTTATTGGCCTTATGCTTGTGCTCAAAACGGTCATCAAAATGAAACAGCATAAGTTTCATTTTTGAGTTAGAAGGTGTTAGCTGTCATAATTAACGCAACTTTAATTTCATAATTGTCTGTCAGTTATACAATGTACTTGTGCCAACGAAATGTTCAGTTTAAAAAAACAAACAGAAACTAAATTCTATATTACTAATATATTGTCTAATTATGCGTTAAATATTACTTACTCCATAAAGGACTTTATATATTTTGTGTACAAATAACTAGTAAGCTATAAGTGATCGATCATAATGACGGAACTTAAATGTTCTTCGTAAACCTCATATTTAACTAATTATCATAGATTTATTATTAACATCCCCTTTATTAGTTCTATTTCTAAGAAATGTTATCATTCTAGGCTTCTTAATTTGTTCATTTTTAAAATATCTCACAAATCTAACATATTTAATTATTAGATAAGATTTAACTTAATTAATTTCAATTAAAATTAGATTATTTTATAAACAATTAAAAATTTATTAATTTTTCAATATAAATTCTAATTATCATTTTATCAATTAAACATTGTATCCAAGTAATGAAAAATTAACAAACATACAATTGGCTGTATTGATTCATATACATTTCATGATAGGACTTAGTAACAATAATAATTAATTAGGATAATGATAATAATAATAATAATCAATATGATAATCTTTATAAAATAAACCTAATAGTTCTTAACCAACCATATAATTGAATTAAACTATGAATATAATAAAAATAACAATGAATAAAGTGTATGATATTATATTATTTTTAAAACATGAATCCATTATGTTATAAGAATCACATGGTCAATGGTAAACATTATGATTGAGATATTCGATTTGTATGTTTTGTATTAGGTTTGTTTACAATTGTAATTGCATTTATCATGATTTATTTAACCAATAATATCATTATTAATAGTTGATATTCATTGTGCCTAATGTCTACTAATCTTGTAATATTACAGGAGTAATGCAGAATTTGACGAAGTATTATATATATATATATATATATATATATATATATATATATATATATATATATATATATGCCTACTGAAGAATTTTATTCTAACCTTTGCCTACTCATTAGTTATATAATGAGCTCAAAATGAATACCCAGATATGTTAAGAATCATTAAAGAAACTCGAGTTATTTGACTAAATATAAATTAAAGTTGGTGGCGAGTACATGTTTTATGTTTATTTGGATTTATTGATATCATGGATTTATAAACTGTAATTAAAGTATCAACATTTTTTCCAGAACGTTATAGGTCTAACACATAGGAGTATGCTATTCATAGATTAGAGTATGTATAAATCCAATTTAAAATTGATTGCTGAATACTTTAACCTATCGAATATTAGTTAAAAGCTTTGAAGCATTATTCTCTATAGTATACCTGAATAACTATAAATCGTATAAATATTAAAATCTTTCAAGTTTAAAAATAAATTAAAAACAGTTCATGGATTTTTGCACAATATAATTGTAAACGGAGCTAAATCTCACTGGTTCGTGTTATGAAAGATAGCCGATGAAGTGCTAGATAGCGAAAATAAACAAACTGATGGTCGACACAATTATATGATGTGCCCAACAAATAGCTGATCACGCATTCGAACTATCAACTCAGTTCCTTGAATAAACTGAAAATAAAAGTCAAGAAAACTAGCCAATAGGATTGGTTTAGTTTTCAAACAGAATTACTCGATTTTACACAAGACATTAGACAAAAAACAGACGTAGTTAGATAAACAATTTCTAAATAAGCGATCGGTGAACATGAGTTTTCTAGGTCACACATCCGTCAATGGAATTACGAACTGGTTATTATTCCTAATTCTCTTCCATCGTGTCAGTTTACACAGGTTCTAATCAGTTTAATCTGAGAAAAAAATTAGTAAATTCAGCTTTCACACAATGCATCTCGCTTAAATCCAGTTGGACGAGACTGTTTTCTGTTACTCAGTTAATCCTTCTGTTTCTTATTGATAAACTAAAAATACTGATTGTACACTAATGTTTGAATTATAATTCTGTTTGTCTTTATCTCTATATGATCTAATGAGATTTATAAGCTACATAGAGAATAAATTCTCTTGTTTAAAGGTATTAAGTTACAGCAGACTATTTAAAACTAACTACATTCAATCATAATATCATGGTCAAAATATTCTTTCAGTTATCAATGAATTTACTCAGTAACTTATTAATAACCTGTCAAATTTTGATCTTTTTACTAGCGACTACAGTTAAAAGACTCAGATTACCCGGAAAAGCATAGATGTATAATTGTCAAGTGATGAATCAATACCTTTAACTAAATGAGTTATAAATGCATGACCTACTCGTCCAATATGTAGTAGTATAAATGTTTTGATCAAAAGTTTTTGCCATTCTATTGAATTCTATTGTCACATTATTAATTATTTTCTTTGTTTACAGAAAAATGTTATCAATATCCAAGAATAAAAATTGTGCTAAACTAACAGATATGGAAATAAAGCATCAAGGTGGTTGGTATTACAATCCAACTGAAATGCAATGTCAATATACATCTGATTGTATTATAAATGATAATTATTTCGAAACTAAAAATGAATGCGCTGAAACATGTGAATACTGGAGAGGTATAACTTGGTATATTTAGTTTCTTTTTCCATGATAATATGAAACAGATGCAAATAAATTATAGATAATGTCTTAGAAATTACAGATATCAAGATGCAGTAAATTACTATAAAAGAATAGGAATTTATAGATTTTCAATGATATGGTTCATCTGAATATTCAACACACATGATAATTTCTATCAACTGGATTTTATCATCAATAACCAGACATGCTTAATAAGCTAATAACCATTTTGTTTTCTAATAATTTACTTCATAGCATAGAATGAACGTTAAGCTTGTGATAATAATAAACATCAGTAATTGAAATTGAAAGCAATTGAGATAAGTTTTGGTGGGGTTTATATATATATATATATATATATATATATATATATATATATATATATATATATATATATATAGACTCCCAGTCATTATATAAGAGCCTATAATAAATGATTATTGTGGAAGTATTTTCTTAATGATTTAGGTACTGCTCGATGTCTAGCTCCACCTCAAGCTGGTCATTTTCATTGTTCCGCTGTGAATACAGAAAAGACTATACGACCAATTCTAATGGTTTATTTCGATAAAGTCTCTGGAAAATGTCGCTGGTTTACCTATTATGGATGCGGTGGCAGTGCAAACCGTTTTACATCTATAACAGAATGTGAAGATACTTGTGGAAATAAGATTGCAGATAAAATTGTACTTGGTAAGTTGATATCAGTTAACCTGTGTTTTTAAATAGTTTCATCAAATTTTGTGCAATATATTTTGTAGATGAATAAAGCATTATTAGAATTATTGTAGTTCGAACGTTATAACGCAAACATACAATTTATAGAAAAAAGATTATTATGATAATAATGTAAGTCTTAAAGACCTCAAGCTTTGTGATATACTGGTATCTTGAAATCATAGTTCACTTTGTTTCACTCAGTAATTTTGAAAGCTGAATTAAGCCCTTATATACTTGTTCAAAAGTAATATGTGTTCACTTAACATTTATACATGGATTCACCAGAGATCCAGTATTTGATGTAAAATTACTTACTTTTAAGGGGAACTTTTCATTCATAGTTGATAATTCATAATATAACGTGTCAAATATTTAGATGTATCCGTCATACTAAGTTGTAAGATGGTCAAAAGATAGATAAATTTCTTCGAAAATGAAGACTTGTGTCATATTTACTTGTTTAAAAGAAATTTTAGTAAGGTTATGTTCAAATGGAATGGATTAGTTTTCTCATTGATTATTTTAACTTATTATTTACCAATTTCTTGAGCAGAAATGTAGCACGTAATTTACTAAGAAGTTTTCCACCGATATGGTTTGTTAATTAACATTTTATTTAGCGTTCTTTGGGCAAAACATCTTACAGTATCTCTTTAATAGGCCATGAATCTAGCCCGAACAGATAACATTTCTGAACACAGTTCTTTTCGTGAACTTACATAGACTAGTGAACCATCGAAAACCAAGAAAGCACTAAATATCTATTTTCTTCTAGTTTGAGACTCCACAGGAGAGAGCACTTTCAATCACGTCAACAAGCGCTTCACCCTTAAACAACGGATTTGGAATAAGACAATTCATATTTTTATGTTTATTCTGATCACTTTTTGTTTTCAGTGGCCAATCAGCTTTGTCAAGTGGCTCCAACAACCCAATTATTTCCACAATGGTCAAGAATAGAAATGGATACATGGAGTGAAATAGGCCAAGATGGTCAATTTTTTTCTAAGGAAACATCTGAACCTATTCTATTTGACAATCTTACCTATATTGACGCTATGCGCATTGAACCGGAATGCTCAAATGTCGGTCAGCATGAATCACGTTGGTATCTTGATGTTGAAACAAATCAGTGTCAGGAATTTGCATATTCTCACTGTGGTGGGTCTTCAAATAACTTTTTAACACGAGCTGATTGTGAACAATTTTGTGGGGCTGCAAAACCTGATATATCAAGTAAGTGAACCAATAACATTGTGGTGGCCGGTATTCGATATAATCCTTAAACTGCGTATACAGTTCGTCTTGATAATCGTCCTATATAACGCCCCAACGGTATATTAATCAGAAGGCGAATACAAAGTGTTGGTTCCGTTTATTATGGGACCACACACAGATATCCAAAATTACAGATGAGTTAAACAAGCACAGAAGAGTTGTGCCGAAAGGCAAGCAGGCAAGTGAGCAAGCGGGTGAGTCAGCAAATATGAGTACGAGTAAGCGAGATAGAGAAATGAACATGAATAATATGGACGTACATATACATAGCGAAATGAATGAATCATCGAATCAGTTAAGCGGTTAGTAGAAGGGTAGCAGAGTGAATAAATGCGTAGGCGGTAAGAAATGCTCTGGCATACATGTTCATACATTCGCAACAATAATAAAGATACAATGGTATAGATAAGTTGTTGTTGTTGTTGTTGTACGGATGACTCAATTCGTTAATAAGTTAACGAAATAACTTAATCGAATTAATTGTGGACAAACTCAATTTCACGTGAGCTGTTATAACATCTTTAGATTAAAGGCGGTATCTGGGACTGTTATAATTTCATTTAATTATGTATCTCTTAGTTCAAAAATTTACTTACTGCTACCCCTCGTAAAGCATAAGTCGCCAAACGGCCATCTCCAACCTACATGTACTGGGCTTTTGTTCTCAGACGTTGCCAAGTACCATTCATTTTTCTGATGTCTGTCCCCAATTTCCTATGTAATGTGTTTTTCGATCTACCTCTTTTCGTTTTACTTTGAGGATCTGAAGTTGAGGCTTACCTCGTGATGGAGTTTAATGACGTTCACCTTCAGCGTCTTTTTTAATTTCCTACTCAGCCGAAAGTTGGTTTATTCTCTGCCATAGTACGTTTTTGCTGATGGTTTCAGGAAAACGTGTCAAGAGTATCTTGCATAGATAGCTGTTTGTAAACACCTATACCGTTTTTGGTAATGGTTGAATTAGTTGTACATGTTTTAACTCCGTACAACAAAACTGTCTTGAGGTATTTTTAGCAGAGTTTCTTTCTAGTGGATGGAATTACTAGCCCCTCCTCCAACCCTTCTCTTTTTATCGGGCTTGGGACCAGGAGTAAACCTAGCAAACCTCCATGAATAGTTTTGTTAAAAACTCGATAAACATTAAATTAAAGGCTGCTTAATACTAATGAGACTGATTAACAATATATTAAGGGGGTTACTACGATTACAGATTGGTCATTTAATATTGGTTAAGAAAGTAATGAATAATAAATGAGGAATTTCTTATCGTAGTAAACCCGTTGAAATTTTGTTTACGAATAACTCATTACTATTAGACATCCTATTCTTGCACTTAGTTTAAACAAGAAAATGAATGTTTTTGTTATAAATAAGAGAGAACAATTTGTTTGTATCGCACTGATACCAGTTTATTTATATTCAAAAGTGTCCAATTGGTTAAATACTGACTAAAACTGTGAAGCAGTTTCAACGTTTACAGTTATCAATCTGAGTAAATAAATAAATTATAAAACAACATTGTGATAAGTTCTTGGTAACACAGCTATCCTGTGATAATGATTTTAAATATGATTATGAGCTATATGATGTTACCAGTATTCAAAGCATATCGTGATATATGTATCACTTTTTATTAGTGAGATAAAAGGTTGTAGGAAAGTTCAATTTACTTATATAATCAATTTTCTGTGTTCATTCATGTAAAAGCGTAGATTTGAATATGTATTATTTGAAAGACTATTACATATGTATAAGTTGCAGCAATTGTTACTAGCAATAGGAAATATATCAAATGTATATGATCGTCTAAAGTATGTTTTTGTAAATGACAACAATGTTTGAAATTAGTACTTAACAAATCGTTTTGTTAGTGTCAGAAGGGGTTTTGTGGAGATTGTAGTAATTCCAGTAGTTGAGATCATGAGTCAGTTGAAGCTAGACTACCATTACAAACCTGGAATCACTGGACGGCTGTTTCGTCCAATTGTGGGACTCTTTAGTAGTGCTCATCCACAACCCCACCTCGCGGGGTTCGAACCCGGATCAGTGGTCTAGTGGTTAAGCGTTCGCGCACGAGACCGGTAGGTCCTGGGTTCGAATCTCGTGAGGCGAGGTCGTGGATGCCCACTGCTGTGGAGTCCCACAGTAGGACGAAAAGGCCGTCCAGGGCTTCCAGGTTTCCCATGGTGGTCTAGATTCAATGACTCATGATCTCAATTATTGAAATCGTTTGTTATTTATTTAATACAGAAGAACAGTTTAAGATTAGCTTTTTACGCTTAATAATGCCTATGTAAACTATCGGTACTCATCTAAATTATATAAAGATTGAATTAATAATCTTCATGTATATAATGTACAAACCTTCCTGGAGAACGTTATTTAATCTAAAACCCGATTTGTGCCGTTGATCTTTTATATATAGTAGTATCATAGATTTATTTTCAAGCCCAGTATGATGCTCCGTGGATTTTTGAATTTATTTCAAAAAATTGATTTTTCCTCAGCCTTCAATTATTTCGTTTGTGTCGTATTATGAACTCGATATATTATAACTTTTTGCATATGCCTTACATTAATAGTATGATTTAATTTGGAAGTACGATAAACGAAACATTCTAAAATGTCATATCTGTTCATTTGTACCGTGTTTATTGGAAAAAAATTACTGTTACATGTGTAAGGTTCATGTTTTAATAAACCTTGGTTAATTTAACTTTTTCATAGTGATTATTTCGACAAAAAAAAACACTGAAAAAATAAAAATCAATAACATAGTTTCTTATTATTTAATAGCTATCTGTAAATTGAAACCTTCATTTGGCGAATGTACCGGATACAAAACTATGTGGTATTATGATCCTAATTGGGTAATGAATATGGATGGACAAGATCATTATTTAATTGGTGGCTGTAGACAGTTCAATTATTCTGGTTGTGGTGGAAATAGTAATCGATTTCCAACTCAAGCTGCATGTGAATTGACATGTCAATTTAATACAAAGGTTGAACTACAAATTAATATTGATCCTGTGGAACAACTGGATAATGTAACGACACAATATGAACTTAATCGAAATAAAGATAATAATCAGCCAACGATAGTAATCACTGAATCAAACAAAACTATACATAATAATTTGGTCAAAAATATGATAAAGCTGACTTTAATGAATATCGGTAGGTGTTTATCAGTTTACACTTCTAATAATGTTACGTTTCAAATGATTATGTAGGTGTCATTACCAAGGTTTGATTTGATAATTTCGAATAAATTGAGCATTGGGTTGATTGTTATAAATAAAAATAATATATTTGTAATATCCCAATGAGTAGAAAATTGGATTTTCTGACGTTTCGTGACTTAGTGTAAGTCACTTCTTCAGAGAATAAATAACCAAATTAAAATTAATCCAAGTTTAAATAGTACAATGGAACAATGCAAGAATAATATCTGATCAATCAAAAAACAGGTCTGAACAAGTTGATGTCATGTCATTTCTGTCAAGGTGATTCATAAGTGATAAGTATGTAAATTTGTGTATGTATGTATATGTGCATTGTTTAAGAATGAAAACTTCTGTGACCTTTATGGTAAGAAAGGATAGAGTTTAAATTTGTAATATGATAGTGTGTGAATGGCTAGGATAGATGGTCCAAGTAGGATGTATGGTAAGACCTTCCTTTCTATTGAGAGAAGTAGGATTAAGCATTATATGGAACGCCTCAGCTACCCTCCTTTCTTTGTAGTTGGAAAAGCCTTTTTGCAATATTTTGATATTTTTAAAATCGATTTGGTGGTTGTTGAAAATGGCATGAACTGCTATTGCCGATTTAACTTGAAGTTGGTTCAATTCTACAGGATTGTTAGGAGGTTTCTTTGTGTACCTAATATGTTCTTTGGCTCTAGTCACGATTTCTCGGGATGACTCTCCAATATAATAGGCATCAAAATCAATACAACCTAATTTGTAGACGCAGTTCTGTGTGGACATGAAAGGGATTTTGTCTTTCAGGCGAACTAAAGTATTACGTAGTGTGTCCGTTGTTTTGTAATACACTTTGATTCTGTGAAGTTTTAAGATTCTTTGGATTTCTTCTGTTGTACCATGACGGTATGGTAGAACTACAGTACCAATCCATGGCATTTCATTCGAATCATTATTATAATGTAATAAACTGTTTTGTTTTAATATGCTTCTAATAATCTTCACAGAAGTTTTCATTCTTAAACAATGCACATATACATACACACAAATTTACATACTTATCACTTATGAATCACCTTGACAGAAATGACATGACATCAACTTGTTCAGACCTGTTTTTTGATTGATCAGATATTATTCTTGCATTGTTCCATTGTACTATTTAAACTTGGATTAATTTTAATTTGGTTATTTATTCTCTGAAGAAGTGACTTACACTAAGTCACGAAACGTCAGAAAATCCAATTTTCTACTCATTGGGATATTACAAATATATTATTTTTATTTATGTTTCAAATGATTATTCATTTATCCGTTTGTTCAGCATTATCACTAGATGGTCATGGACTATAACATAAAATATGAATTAGATAAAACTATTCACTTTATTACACGAAGGTTGTCCCCTCAAAAAGACAAAACATCCATTTGTAATTTTATCATTATTATTAATGGCTTTATATCTTTAGTACAGTATAGAATTCTCAACACAAAGTATTTCAACAAGTTTCTTTTACAAAAAAGAAAAAAGTGAAACTAATAACTGCCTATATATAACTTAAGTGGATAAACTACTTGGGACATAATGAAATGCCTTCTTAGGATTTGAATCTGTATAACTTTTTTTCAATTAGAAACATGTTTCAGAATACAAGTTATTGACTAGGTCAATTCTAACAACCTATTTGTCACATAGCATATTTGCTAGACAAGGTATTGTGGAGCTTTTATACCTTTGATTTCATACATCGATTTGGATGTCTTGTTCTGCCAGAAGACATACGAAGGGAAAGATATGACTGAAATGGATGGTCAGTATTTGATAAGATAACACCTGTCAGGAGGTCGCAAGATTTCAGATGTCTATCTACAAGCATATCAATAATGACCTTAAAAAAATTTACCACACACCTTGCTAACTGCCTTCAGCACTCTTCGCAATACAGCATAGTCTTTTCTCTAAAGTTCGGGAAAGATTGATGAAGAAAAGTAAAGAATATGCAAGAATTGACAAATCGTAAGCGTCAATGTGGAGTAGTGGCTGATAAGTCTTGTCGATCGAACGCTATATTCGTTTTCCTAAGCTATTCTGGTAACCCGCAGTCAAGAACTACACAGCGACTTGAACACCAGAGAGAAGACACAAGTATGAGAGAAAATACTTTATCCCAAGGTTCGTTTTTGTACAGAAAATCATGGGTATTTATAGATGTTGGCGTCTGTTGAATCAACATCATATTTCAGCTAATCCGTTAACGACATATTATGCTACCGACCAATAGTAGCACGCCACGTTGGAATTCTAGAACGTTCCATCATACTCTGATTGGCTAGGGCCCTTCGGCTCTTTTTGGGCCTCTGAGGCTCCGTTGAAGTTCTCCGGAAGCCGACTCAACAATGGCAAAAGCATGCAGCCTCTTTATGTAGTACGTCAGTCGGAAAACGTTCTTTAATAACGGTGAAACATGAGAAGACTGAGAAAGATCTGAGGAAAAATTTACACCAAGATAAATGACATTTTACACTAGGTTTATCAAAGAATTTCCGACTGTACAAGTTTTATGGGATTCTAACAAGGTGTTTTGGTGCTGTTCATGTCTCAGGCTAAAGTTAACAGTCCAATATTTAACAACAATCCACCATTCAATACGAGACAAGAAATCATCCACTTCAAGGGGATTTAATTAATTTGCTTAGCTGTAATCTAAAGGATTGGTGACTTGATACATTTAAACTATTCTCATCAATAACTGATACTACAAAAGTTAAGATGAAATGCATTATATTTCCAGTTATTTTAATTAATTCAGTTATATTATCATATTAAGGGTATTTGTAATGATATGTTAGAAGATATGAGGCGACATGAGCAACAATGTATCCAATGGGTTTATACGGAAATAAAATTTATAACAGATGAAAATATAAGTACTATTACTGAATACAAAACTCAAATGTTACTCTGTATGTAAATAAAATAGCTCAGTAGTAGAAGCTTCATCAGCTTGAGTATGTTTTTTTCAGTCTGTGACACGTTGAAAGTAAATTAGATGATCTATTGTATCTGATTTACCGTAAATGTTTTTGACAGATCAAACCTTATAGTATTTGCTACCAAAGTGAACCGGTCAATTTTTCTTTCTAACTAATGTAAGTTACAATATTCAGTTGATGTGCTGATTAAAGTACTGGTTGAAAGCAATAAAAGTTTCTAAGATATTGAATTAAAAAATCCTTTGCACAATAAATGAATAGAATAAATATTTGCCACAGAAAATGTTTCAAAAAGTGACAAAGAATAACAAAGGACTAAATGCTGTAAAATATTAGAGATCATTAACGAAATGTTTAAAAGCAAATTACTGCATAGAATGACAAACGTTAACTCTTTTTGACTTGGAAAAGCCACTAATTCCTGTAAATAGATAATTTCTACAAATAAACAGAAACATTCAGAAGATTTGTTTAATGTAAAACTGTGCATATAAAAAATATATAAAACATTTAGATGAGATGTGTACTATTTTTTAGTAACAGTGTGGCGTGTGCTACTAATGTCGACAGTTATAAGTAGTATGCATCATCAATCAAGGTGAAATACCTGGAGGCAGAAGGTTAAGAAGATCAAAGAAAGGAAAGCGAGAACAGAGAATGATTACAATAGAAACGAAGGAACAATCAAATCTGAGACGATTGATTGGCATTTTGCAAATGAACTATTTATTATATAGTTTTCAGATTTTAATAAAACGTGTAATTTTGTGTTCAAATACATTCGACTGTCCCCACTTGTGTTCACTTTCACTATAACAGATTTTCAGAAATTCGGACGAATTATTATTTTTGGCGCCTGGTCATTTAGGTGAAGAGATACAAGTTATATTTTAACCTGTTGTCTGCAGTAATCACTTTTTCACAAAGCTTTCAGTTCAGTGAAATAAGTCTCAGTAATTTCACATTTTAGAAACTGTTATGCGACGTCTACACGAATGTGATGCCAATTTACCTTAGACGAATATCTGCACTAGATTCCCTCCCAGTGTCTGTTCTACAGGACTTCAACACAACTCAGATGAAAAACATATGACTAGCCTGCTTAGAACGTAAATATATTTCCACGCCAAGAAACAACAAAAATACGACACAATCCAACAATAATCAATAATAATAAGGATAGGAGAATGTATAACTCATATAAAGCCAGTTAGACCATCTACAAGTCTGACTAAGCAAACAGCCAATCATTATCACCCTCGCCCACACATCAGAAATATGTATAAATAGCATTACCAACTGTTCATGACTAGAATTTATCGTATACGTAGCAATTGTGAATCGCTGGTTATGATTTACTATTCCATCGTTTTGGTGATTTTGTGACTGGCCAAAGTTAGTAGTATTTCAGGAATGGGTTTAAAAACTGAGTCTATATCTTTTTGTTAGCTCATTCCTAGATGGTCAAATTTTATGTATAGTGAGTTTCTTCAATCCAGAATTTCTGATCTTCCAGTTGAATTATTGTCTACAAGTTTCTATGTGCAATAATGCTGAATTTGTGTCTTAGTATCGTTTAACTATTATTTTGTGTAAAATAATTAAATACAGTGAGGATGACTGTTTTGTTGTGTTTAACGTTAAAAACTGAAGTACTTCTATCAACCAACAATTTTCATTCTTAAACTTTCTTATTGATGACGGAATCAATAGACAGAAACGTTGTTTTCTTTAAAACGTGACGTCATTTAAAACATTGTCAAGTAATCTATAACTGTTTTTCACTTAACATTTTTCGTGGGCTAAATGTAACAGTGTTGCCTACATATTTTATGTTCGAAATAATTGCTTACAACTTTGAAATCATTTATTCATCCCTTAAAAGCAAATTGCATTACGATCAGAATAACTGATAGATGATAACTTATATGATAATAACCTCTTTGTCTAGGTTGAAAATTATTGCTAAACAATAAGAATTTAGTATCAGAAAGGGTTTTGTAGATATTATAGTAATCACTTAAAACAATGGTGGATGTGTCGCTCAATTTCGTGGATTAGTTGAAGTTAGACATTAACACCGTTGGATGCCGGCTCAGTGGTCTAGAGGTTAAGCATTCTCGCGCGAGACTGGTAGGCCCTGGGTTTGAATCTCGTGAGGCGAGATCGTGGATGCGCACTGCTGAGGAGACCCACAACAAGACGAAATGGCCGTCTAGTGCTTCCAGGTTTTTCATGGTAGTCTAGCTTCAAATGACTCATGATCTTAACCATTGAAATTACTATAAAAACCTGGAAGCACTAGACGGCCATTTCGTCTTGTTGTGGGTCTCCTCAGCAGTGCGCATCCACGATCTCGCCTCACGAGATTCAAACCCAGGGCCTACCAGTCTCGCGCGAGAATGCTTAACCTCTAGACCACTGAGCCGGCATCCAACGGTGTTAATGTCTAACTTCAACTAATCCACGAAATTGAACGACAAACATTTTCTTTCATCAGTTGAAGATCAGAAAATATTTTTAAAAAAAGTTGATTGTAAACAGAACGTGGATACATGTTGAAACATAAGTCTAAGTTAGTTTTTATCAAGAATCTCTTTAATTCGTCAGAATGACAGTCATCTAACCAGTGTAATAACGAAAGTGAACTCAAATGGTAAATCTTTTTATCCAAGTTTCAGCTAAAAGATAAATTCATCAGTTTGTAACCAGTGTTTTTGAATTAATAAATGATGTTTTCCATAGTAGGAGATTTGTAGCTCAGGTGGATGATTTTGATGGAGTTTTGTTCACTGAGCTGGTTGAAGTAAGTATTTTTACTCCAGATTATTTGCAGTATTTAATATTGATAAAAACTAATCTGTCTTTTCACATTAATTAGATCTTGAACCCTGTCGGCGACATCCTGTTTTTGGCTTTTGTCGACCATTAAATTGCTCTGAAGAACATCGACGAAATCAGACATGCCACTTTTTAAACTTCCAAAGATGGTTTTTTAATGCTCATACTAGTAATTGTGAAGCATACAGTTACAGTGGATGTGGTGCTTCAGAAAACACATTTGATGATGCTCAAGCTTGTCAGGCGGCATGTAAAGCTAGAATTGTCAGGCCTGATAGTAAGTTCCGTTTTATTTTTAGTATAAAAATTAGTTTAATCACGATTAATCCATAAGTTAATTTTCGGTATAATAAACTGCTGTCACTATAAGCAGTAGTGATACCAACAGTATTAGTTCATCTAAATAAATAAAGCTAACCGAACAAATAAAAACTAAGAATAATATTTAATAACATAGTGTATGACAGACGAAAATAAAAGCCGATGTTGGCAAGACTCTAATTTATGGACGACCTTTGAACGAATCTTGACCAACCTTGGGAAATATTAGCCAATCATCAAACAGTTAGTATAGAGTACAAATATATTAAACGAAACCAAGGAAATAAAGTGGATACACTTCTTCTACGTGGTTCAAAAAGCTGTCAAAGTTAGGAAGAGGTTCAGAGGTCCTAAAATCTTAATGCATACGGTAGAGGAAATCATCCACATGACTATAGAATAGTCAGCCTCTGGAGCCATGATAAAGTCTCAAAAACTGTTTTAGCATCGACCACATAGCTTCAATACTGTTTATGTGCACTCCGGTTGTTGAGTGCACAAAATGCTACTTGTGGATAATGACACGATGCACATAACCAAGCCTATGTAGGAGTCTGTACGCTCTGCAATCATTCGTATATATTGTAGTACCTTGCTACAGCCAGTGTTACTGGTGTTTTTATTATCCAGCTCACAATAATTGTCGTAATTTGCCTTAGTTAGGAACTATATACAGGGTTTTCATCACGAACTGACATCAGCTATAATGCCAGAAATTTATTTAGCCAAATGGATGAAAGGCGTTCGCGTTAAAATACGAGATCTATTATCCTATACCTGATTCGTCCACAAATTATAGTCCCGCCGTTATATTTGTTACAGTCGCTCAATTATCACGTTTTGTACAAAATTCCCTGTGAACCGATTGTACGTTAGCATTAAGCACTGAAGTTGACGCCGTAACCTTGAAATCTCTAAAACGCCTCTGGTTGGCTCGTCCATAAATTAGAGTTTCGCCCCGATGTTTTCAGATCATTATGATCAATTTTAAATTAGATTATTTCACGTCGGCAACTATATTACATTTAAACAGTCCAACTTAATAAGAGGGACTGTTTGTTATAAAACTAGTTTCTGATAAAAAGAATAAAGGAAATATTTCAACCAGATGCACATTTAAGACGAATTTTAATAAAATCAGTCGTAGTGGATCACTGTAGTTAGTTGCCACAAATGATAGCTCATCATTAGTTTACACTCAATCCCGGAAATCAAAATATGTCTCATTCAACTCCTTGATATACTTGTTAATAAATATTTCTTTTCCATTATTAGTATAGATTTAACTAAGGTTACAATCGTATTTAATGATTTAGAATAATTTCTATTTGCTATGTTCTATATTTAGGGGATCAACGTTGCGATTCAAACCCACATATCAAAAAATGTTACACACTATCAGTAAGTGGTAATCAACAGGATGTGTCAAGTGAAAAAGATGTCATTGCCTTTCATTTTAGTATGTCTAGTGCTACATGTAAAGCATTTCATTTAAATACAAAACGACCTGGTTGTAGTATGGAACAATACTTTCCAAATGGTTACGATTGTTTACGAGAATGTGTCAAATCTTCACCAAATGAAAAACATTTACAAAGTAAGTTTTATTTATTACTGTATTAAAAAAACCACATAAAATAGCAAAAAAAACTTAGCAGTGGTTACTAATTTCTATCCATATAGTAGCAACGCTACTTCGTCTAATTTAAAGTAGGTTGATTATAAGTAAACAAAAAATGTTATCAAAAGAGAAGTACGATTACCTGATAACTCATTTAAGTATTGTTTAGCATAATTTTGATTCAAAATCAAATATGTATATCTGAAATTCACATTCAATTTACATCTGACACTAATGATTCAATAAAAGCTTTCTTTCTCAAGCCATTCGTAGATCGCACAACATAAAAAGAAAGTTCATAGACAAATTAGTAGATAAAAAATTTTTCTCCAGCGTAAAAATGAAGTTTCTTGAAGTGAGATGTTGAAACATTTCAGAGTAAGGCATTAACTTTTTGAAATGAACAAATTGTTTAATAGTATCTAATAGAATCAGTGTACATTCAAATGTTCTTTTGAAAGCCTACTGATATTGCTGATTGATTTCCAATATTTCCTCGATAGATATCTGAGCTAACAAGGATTAAGTGAGAGCAGCTCAATCAATTCCGAACTGAGCACACAATCCATATTTTTTAGAGTTAATACTTTACGTGGTTGATATTTGCAATTTTTTGTTGGTGCATAAGACGAAGAGTAAAAGTAATGCAGATGATATGTTACATTCATAATTAAAGTATGAAACTCTAGCTAGCTAAATAGTTCATACTGTCTAGTGGTTAACACTAACATAAGAATAAAGTCCTGAGTTTGTGTTCCAGTCTTCAGATTCAGAAGACATGATGGACAGTTAACTAAAGCAAAAATAAGTTTAAAAAATTTTCTGTCAAGTAACATTATATTACTCATTATAGCAATGTATAACAGTTTGTTGCTCAAGTTCTGTTTTCTCAAATTTTTTCGCCTATTTAAGATCGTTGTTTTGCTCGGAAAACTCATGTTATGTGGAACTGCACAGATCAAAGTATTAAAACTTATCGTTGGTCATATCTACCTGAAATTAACCAATGTGTACGTTTTTCTGAATGTACAAATCCCGATCAAATAATTGAACAACCTGGAAATAATTTCGCTTCAAGAAGTGAATGTGAAACTACTTGTATGGCATCTAGTTTTGAAGGTCAGTTGATATTCAAATAAATAAGGTTAAATAAAAGTGTGATAAATTAAGATAAATTATGATCATTTGTTAAGGGTAACCGATATCCAAGTGTATACGAAATTACCGAGTTGATGGAGTCTCTGTAGTCTTGAAGTAACTAGGAAATCAACTCAGTCACAAGAAACCAAAATCTTACGACATTAAAAAACTTTATTTCTGAATATTATCCAAAATTATTCAACATGACTAAGAACAAAAGGATTTTTATCAAAACTGAAAGTCACAAGATCCCGTGAACCCACAGACATAAACTCTGTTGACTTTCTTGAAATATAATACTAATTTCAATGGATTTAGGATGTTCATGGTTCCTGAGTAAGTCGTTTCTCGATTCATAATATTTTCATATTTAAATGTTATTTTAGATAATCATGATGACTGCACTACTATAAGTAGTTGGATAATGACTTTCAAAGACAAAGTACAGCATTTATAAATCTATATATGTTATAAATTGATGTTTTTGAAAGAAACGAGTACAGGTAGTTAACATATTATCTTTATTTATGTAGAAGTTTGTCAACTTCCAAAAGATCCTGGTCCATGTACAAGTTTTCAAACTCGTTATTTTTATGACAGCAATACATCAAAATGTCGAGTATTTTTATACGGAGGTTGTTTAGGCAACTTTAATCGATTTCTTTCGCGAAAAGAATGTGAACTAGCATGTTCTCAATTTTCAACACATATTTTAAGTACATCAAATCATACGAAATCACAACAAAGTTTAGTGGAAGAAACATTAGTTGATTATGATGAATCTCCACCGTTAAGTGCACAGGTATTTGAGAAGATGAAACAAATTACACAACATCATACAGATCGTTATCGTAAGTTATTTTATGAAATTTCATGTTTACTAAATAATTCTAAGTATGTTGTGTGGTCATTGTGATATTACTTTGAAATCAAAACATAAATGTCAGTAAAGTCACCAGATTATTGTTTTGGATATCATAAAATATATTGAAAATAGAAAAGACATTCATACCATGTGATGGTTCCAAACCATGCAGTCTATTGAATATAGACAAAACTACTTCATTATCAAACTTATAAACTATCCATCTAGACATTTTGACCCAGAAAAATGGCAATTATTTCTTATTCTATGTTGATTTATTTGTATCATATTTACCTACCAATATGATGGCCCTATTCAATGATGATAAGAGAATCAAATGATACTCAAACTCTGAATCATTTAATTTAACCCTTCTTGTCCTTCAGAAGGTTCCCTTGAAAGTATTCGTCAGAATACGCCAGTTAATATTGGGACAGTTGCTGTTAAGAAATTAAAGAAAAACTAGCGAGGTTTTAAATCCAATTATTTTGTATCATGCGATTTTGTGAAATTCATTTTAAAATTTTGAATTATCATAACTCTTTCTATCCATCATCTTGGGCCGTATTCCTCATCAATAACCTGACTTTCTATACCTCTGTGATTAAAAAGGTTGTTAAACAGCAAACAATAATGAGCTTAACTCCTATTTCTTATATGAATCTAATTCCAGCAAGATTCGCCCAAAAGGATAAGAAACATATGTATCTTCATAAGCAGAGATGAGTGATCGCTAGCAGTGGGATCCAGGACGTACGTTTTGTCCTAGGTGGGACTCTCCAGCGGAATGTACCGGCATCCCAGAGTTGGTGTTTACTCTGGGACTCGAACCAAGTACCGTTCAATTCAATTCTGAGTTAAAGACTTTTGATAATACTACTGTCGGTCAAATAAATTCTCAATCTGTAAGGTAACTATGACTGACCAAAAATACTGTTAACCAGAATAAACAAGTAACTACGAAGATGACAACTTATCAAAGCGTATTACGTACTGCATTTTTCAAGAATCTTATGTAATATTCGATCATTTTATCACTGAATTGCTATTAAGGAAATATTTATTGATGTTTCTGAAAATTAACAGAAAGATCAAATTAGACCAAAATCTTATTTTACCCACCGCCCCTCCTCAGTTAGAAAAAAACAGCAAAAATAAAGTAATCGAATAAGGAAACTTTTAATCGAATGAACAGATATTAACGGTATCATTTAAATTGTAATACACCATTAGGATTTTTATGTAAAGTTTCGAATAATTATAATCTTATCAGACTTCTATTTAACGGTACCTCATATCTTTCAGTGCAAACTGGAATAGTGAATTGTTAAAACTTATAAACAGTTGGTTTAATCAACAGTTAATTATGTTTATTAATTATGTATGCATATTTAGCTTGGGATATTTGTTTGGATAGTCATAGTTATGGTACATGTTCACTACCCGGTGGTCAATATCAAACAACAAGTGAATACCCTTATGTACCATTAACTCGTTATTATTATGATCGTCGTTTGGGTCAATGTCAACCTTATACATATACCGGTTGTGGTGCCCGTGGAAATCATTTTGACACATTAGAAAAATGTCAAACAGTGTGCGAGAATCGTTTGAAAAATCCAAGTGAGTTATAAATTATATTCATTTGTTTTGTTTATCAACAGTTTTCTTAGGTGTTAACAATCACATTCATCAATTTTATTATTAATCTAAGGACGTTAATAATTGAGCAATCGCTTTCCGATTAGCCGTTAACAAATAGACTATAATTTAGCAAAACGTGAACTTTAACTTTTTAAGTAAACTAACAGCTTCACGAAGCAGAGTTAATGTAACTTTTATGATGAAATGGCGGCAAAAAAGTCATATATTAGTTTTTCATGAATATACTAAACGTTGCTAGCTTCTAGAAATGATCTCTTTTTTGAAGCTATGAAACAAGCAGTAATTAATCTTAAGGTTTACTTCTAAATCACTTATGACAGAAAAATGTACCCCATTCTCTTCAAATTTAATACTGATTCGGTTATTTATTAGCCTTCATACAACACAATTTAACTGAAAGTAGTTTAGTTCAACCAAGGTAAATGTTTCTATTCAATCATTTTTTAAAAGTAAGATTTATAGGCATTTTTCAACAATAACGCATAAATTTAGACTAAACAGATTTACAGTATACCTCGTTCATCAATGGTTCATTAACTGATATTGTTAAGTGATGAAAACTATCAGCAAACAATTACTGTCTACTTATTTTTCAACTTAAGAATCACCATGTTTTGAACAGTGAATAGCACAGAAATTGATACCTCGAAATTTCCTTGGAGGTCTTAAGTGTAGGGAATGACCAAATTACAAATAAAGCAGCAATTCACTAATGATCTTCCATGGTGATTAGATCATATAAAAACCCAACCAAATTTTAAGACGTAAAGTACTGAATTTATACTTGCCTTTTAATATTGATGTTTTGGGTTAGATTTTGTTTAGGGTCATTCACACCCACTTCTATCTGTAAATTTATCTATTTCATGATTGCTTTTCATCTCGGTTTCTAAGTATTTTAGTTTTTTTAGTTAACGCCAATAAAGCTACAAATTTCATAGTGAATCATAAATACTAACAGTTCCTAAAGGATAATGAATAAATAAGAATATACAGCTTAAGTAAATGATTTTAAATAAGAAGTTACTTTGCACAATCCATTTGATTTATGACTATCTATTTGAAAAAACTTATTACTACCTTTTCTTCTTTTTCTTCCATCTATTACTATTATTAATACTATATACATCGTTACTAGAACCTTACTACGGGTTACTAAGTCAGGACGATGGGTTACATTATGATTCTAAGTAAAAGAATGATGATTATATGAATGTTTTGTATTAAGTTTCTCTATACCAAAATCGAAACAATAAATTTATGTGTAATGACGGTTATCTTAACTTTGTACTATATATTTAATATGTTTGATCTGAAATATAGACTTTCCGATTGCATTTCATGTATTGATTGTAGTTTTACGGTAATTTAATAAGTCACTTAGATTACTTTAATTTAACTATAAATATATAGTTTATAAGAATAGCTAATAAAGTTATTATATATGAAACTTTTATTTGAAATAATCTCAGTGATTGAAATTTAAAATAGTTCCAACGTTTCGATCAGGATTATTACCCTGAAGAAGTCTGGACAAGTTTGCTGGATGAAACGTTGGAATTATTTTAAATTTCAATCGTTCAGATTAGTTCAATTAAAATTTTTCTCATATAATGAAATTTCTATACTCGGCGCCTAGTTTTTGTCAAACTAGTTTTTCTAATATTGACGAATATTTGTTCAAGTTAATAAAGTTGTTTTTCATGACTTATGCGCAGTTGCAAAGAAATAAGATTTTTACTTCTGAATATAAGTCTTTTGTAAGTTGATTCGATAAATAATGTCAGGTAGTTAAAATAACTTTTTAAATGTAGTAATGGATTGATTATATTTACTACGAAGAAATAAGTTTATATCGTAACACACAAAACATGCATTATATAAACTGTGTAATGTAATAAATTATTCATTTTACCATTCACAAATGAGAACGTAAAGAAATTTCTCAGTGAATTCCAGTTTTATAATGTGGTACTTAAGTTTCTGACGTTCTTTGAAACTACTTAAATCATGCTTTTTTTAATAGTGGTAGTCAATAGTTCAACTATGAATGGTTTACAGTCAGTGATTAGGATTTTCAAGTAGTGTCTGAGACATCATATTTCATTCATTGATGACTGTTTTAGAATTATTGGAAAATAATGGAAGTGAATGATGTATATTTGATTACGTTTCATCCATTTCATCTGTGTATGGTGAATTTTGAATGTGATTCTTTTACAATAAACATTTCTGTATAATACGCATATCATGCTGCCTTAAACCATAGTGGAATAATTTTTTCAGTTAAACGCTATTCTTTCGTCTCTTCTATCGGGACGGTGTACTACAACTTTCCAGTTTTTGTATCGCAATTAAATATCAAGTAAAGTTATCTTAATTAACGTGAATTAATGTTTATAATTTTATAACACAAAAGACAATGATATTCATAAAGGGGATTTGTAGAGATTGTAGTATTTCTACTGTTGAAAACATAAACTGATCAGAGCTAGATCATTATTGAAAACCTTGAAGCATTGGATAGCCGTTTCATCATGGTATAGGACTCTTCAGCAGTACGCATTCACGACCTGCACACGGGGAGATAATGAAGTAAATTCCACTTAAATAAATTCAATAGTTGATGATAACCTAGTTGATAGATTTTCGATTATCAGGTATCTATTTTAAAAATTCTGTCTTATTAAATATGGATATGAAATTAATTTATACTAACTAATATCAGAACGCACTTAAAGAAATGTTTTTAAGTGTTGCAAACTGAAAAAGTTGTAACTCGATGTGTGTGTGTGTGTGTTTTTACTCATTTATTTGCTAGAATGATGCACTTTTACAACAGCGTACTGTTAATCTTCATTAACTCGATATTGTTTTGATGTAATTATATCACATGTTAATCTGCTGTAATTGAAAAACTTCTAATTTAAATCTTTTAATCATTGTTTCCAAAAGAAACTTTATCTAAATCATAATTGTTCTACTGTCAGTTTGAATGTAACCGATAAAAAGATGTAGGGAAATACTTATGGACAAATACCTTAATAAATAGTAAATTGCACTGCTATCAATTTATTCCTAACAAATCATTTTCTTAAGTATACAAATTTTATATGTTTTTACAACACAAAGTATCCAACTAGATTGATCCAAGATAATACAGTTTTTACAGATAATTAACCATCAACTGAAGTTTATAATAAACTTTGTTTCGCACCGCTGATATCCCAAATATTGGTTAGGTAAATTCTATGTTGAACTGTTTTGACTAATATCTCATAAGAAATAATCTTTATGACATTCGGATCGAGATTATTTTAAAGCTTCTGTTGTGAACAGAATATGGGTGAGAACAATCGAATATATTTAACACAAACTTACAGGACTTGTTAATAAAATCTAACAATCATAAAGTAAATGCTTAATTTGCAAAATGTCCACCAATTGTCTCAAAATAACTCAGACTTCATTATTCTTGCATTTTCCTACAAATTGCATTCTGTTTCCATTCTTTACTGTTCGACCCTCTTGTCTCTCTGCTGCCAGACTTTCTGTTCACAACTAACATCATATACTACTTATGTCAATATAAGTAGCATACACCACACTTCCATCATTGCCTGTTTTTAAGAGCTACCAAGAACTTGACATTTCTTAGCAATATGACAAATACAGATGATCGATCACTCTGAAGGTGAACGAGTCATTCGTGTTTTGGGAGAGCTAGAGTTTACAATACTTAAAGCACTACAACTGACAAACAGATGTTTTACAACATAACAGTTTTAGCAAGATATACATCATGAAAGCTCTTTACGAAACTCAGGACTCTATTACTTGAAAATAGATATGGTGGTGCCCCACTGCAATAAGACTACCATCAGTGACTAGGTTTACAAAACTTTCAATGTTTTCTAGTTATTTTTTTCAGTTTTTATTGTTCATGTAAACAACTCAGTACTGATTAAAACAGCGTTCACTCTTTTACTGGAAGAAAAGAAGACGTTAGGTTTAGATTAAGTACTCTGAAGTGGTTTACCAGATATGCTTTCATTTGCAGCTTCATTATTATTCAAGAAATTATCAGCTTTTTAGATCACAAAGTGCTGGTTTGTTTAAAGTTTTGTATTTAACTAAAGAGATAAATCAAGTCTAGCACTGGAATTCAGGACCAGTATTTTGGCTAACTTGGAATTCATCAGCTAGATTTATGTGCTACCTATTGTTGATGCCCGCATAAAAACTCGAATCCTTTACTTCGCTCTTTAAATAAAAACCCACTATCCACTAAGCTACTTAGTCCAGTTAGTTACTCACCTTTTTAACGAGGAGGATATTAATGCAGTTTTTAAGAAGGTTTGAGTAGTCCCGTTGTTGATATTGTTGACTGAATTTTTCTCAGTGTCGGCTGACAGATGCTTATTCTATGTCAATTGTCTCTACTTGACCACATTCTACAAGTTGGGTTTTGTCCGGCAGACTAATTCATCTCTTCCAAAAAGCGTAAAAAATGTCTGTACCGAAATAATTCTTATATAACACATATACCAATTAAGATTGATCAAACTTTACTCAGGAATATTAGTAACGGGATAATTCAAACCTTTCTAATAATGATATTTTTATATTTGGCTTACCTATAGATTAAAGATATATAGGGATCATTATCACTTCTATAAATTATACCTGGAATTACTCGCTTTTAAAGCCTAAATTTGAGATGGTAAAGATTTGCAGTTCAGGATGATTTTTGGTGGAGTTTTATTCTCTGAACTGGACGGTTTAGTTGTGGAGCTTTTAACGTTATTCTGAACGACATCATCAGCACAAAATTCAGGTAGACTTGATTTGAGTCTTGGAGATACAATCAAAATGAAAAAGTAGACAATGAGAGGTTAAAGGTCGTCAATAACCAATCAAGAACGAAATCGACAGGAAAAGCTGCGAGTAATATGTGGAAAAATTCGAACACTTCACTTCCACCTGAAGGTTTTACTGATGTCGTTCATAATAACGATGAATGCCCCATGACTAAACCATCCTGTTCAGAGAACAAAACTTTATCTAAAAGCTTAAATTTAACTGAGAACTAATGTACAAATAAAACATGAGACCTATTAAATTCGTTCACATGGTAAATAACTTAAATGATTTGAGGCTTCTACGTAATGATATTTTCCAGATATATTTGTTATTAAGCAGAGGAAATAAACAAATAGATAGGTTGCCAAACTACTTATTTTTCTCTGTTGCGTTAGACTGGATATAAAGCAAATTTTCTGCACAATCGGCCAAGAAAGGTTACTAACTATTCAGTTATTATTAATCATATTTTATTCTGACACGTTTATTTAAAGAGTTTGCTCGCTGCCACTTTGATAAACCAATCACAAAATGTCCTGGAAGTGGAATTCAAGCATGGGCCTATAACCACACCATCGGAGATTGCTATTTCTTTGAAATTTGTGAACCAGACGAAAAGAAAGCGAATTTCAAATACCTCATAAAAAATTTTCATTTCGTTTGAGAAGAACAAGTCAATGGCTTGGAGTATGGCAAGCAAGGACTGGAAATCTACCTGAAGGTGTTTATGCAACTCGAAGTGCATGTCAGTATCATTGCTTACCAAAACCACCCCGAGGAACAGACACACAAAGTTAGTTTACCAATTGTTTTATAAAGTGATATGACTCATTAAAGAATAATTTATGCGACGTTTAACGTATAGTATTAAAAGGTCTATGCGAACTTGTTTCGAGTGACATCGATTTTATATGATGACCAATGGTTAGTCAGTTGTACAAAGTTAGTATTGCATGATTAATCCGACCACCAAACTGATAATCTCGAACAACCAATGTCACATAAAACGATTAAAATAGACACTGACTGTATTCGGATAGTTACTTTCTAGTTTGGCCCAATTCTTAACGGATTTATAGCCAATCTTGAAAAGATACTCCGTTGGAGCCTAAACGTCTGCATGAATTTAGGGAATCGTCTTATCCAGTATTATTTGTTGTATAGTTCTAAAAAGCGAAATCAGCCAAACTGAACTAAAGGATTTTCCAGATAGATAAACAAAGCTTCCGACGTCTTGAAGTAGTTTGTCGTGGTTTAATACCCCCAGACAATAAATATTCTTAACTTAGATTGAACCAGGAATTCCAAGATTCATTATCTTAATTCTACCAGTCAACATTGGATGTAGTATTATATTTCATGAAATGAGATTTTAATAACGATCATACAAATTTGTAGTGCAAAACTAGTCGGTATTTGTATAACCGAACTAGAATTTGTTAAGAATAGTTTAGATTTTAGTGGGACCCTTCCCTTTGACATCAATCAGACCGCACAATTTGGTCGGCGGCGACAGACTCGCCACTTTAATGGGACCCCTTATTTTGTCGTCATTTAGATCGGGCGATATTGTTGACGGGCTCCTCCCTTTAGTGACCTGGGACCTGACTCCAATTTGATTCAAGGAATGATTGTTATTGAAATATATGTCGTCTATCCTCGTATATGATCATCGACTTAACTCGCGTTAGTCATAACGGAATTAAATAAGTCAAATAACGAGAATAGACTTTTGAATACATATACTTGGTACATAAAGCGAATAGGATAGAGCTAAGCGAAACGACGCACAGTGGAGATGACGAGTAAGCCAACTCAATTTAGTTAAACGTGAATCAATATTTATAGGCACACAAAAGTAGGCAACAGACATGTGATGAATAAGATAAGAAGTGTACACACACATAAGCTCATGTAAAAACAGTCAAGATTGGTAAGCGAATAAATAACAAGGTCAGAATGACTCAAGTAGAATGGGCTGTCCAAAAGCTAGAATAAGCTATGTGGGCTTAACATAACAACCGACACCACAAGATAACCATCAGTTCACCACTTAGTAAATTAAATTGGCATGATACGAATTTTGCATGTAAGAATATGTTTAATAGACAGTGATGTCTTTGAAACATTTCATTTCTATTAGATTTATTCTTGAGAATGATCTTTGGCAATTTACGTTTGTACGCTTTAAATAGCAAAGCTTATGATCTAATGATTGATTGTATATTTCGTTTTCCTGTCTTCAGTAAATTCAGTAAGGATTCAATGAACATGAGTATTAAGCTGTAGGAATAGTTTTGTTTTAATTAACAATTGGTAACAAAAGATCTTCTTGTCTGCTCATTTCATTTTGTTTTGGTCTGTAACTTCTCAGAAATCTGTCTATATAGTGCGATATAAACAAACAATACAAACACGATATGGTAACTAAAATTGGTTATTCCGGACGTTTTTTGAAAAAAGTATACAAGAAGCTCACAAGATGGGAAGTTTTAGTTGACACATTAGACAACTATGCCAAAAATAACGTTTAATACAGTTAGTTCTTGTTTGTTGTTTACTAGTCGATCAAAATGTTTTCTCAAACAAGGGATAAGTTACCCAATTTTGTCTTCACAATGTCAGTTTATCGATTCAGCTGTTTCCGTAGAGGTGGATATTGTGGATGTACTAGTTCCTCTAAAGCACAAATTCAACATCCCCATTAGTAACTCAGGAACGATCACTTAAAGTTAGCACACAGTTTCGTATTATTTCGTGTACTGTGACTATGGGGTGCATTCATTATTCTTACCATTACTATTATCACCAATACTGCTACTACTAAGCCTGTCATCAAACATTCGATTTATGACTATCTTTTAATCTGGTTGATGTTTAGTGTACATCATTGTAATTGTTAACTAACGCATTACCTTAACATATCTATTGTTCTTCATACACGAGCATAAATATAACTGTATATTAAAGTAAAGCCGTAAGGGTATGTGAATTAGAATAATATTCTTCATTTATTAGTTTTTTTTTAAAGCTCGAAATCGCTTAATCTCTTTGTCGTTATTGTAGACGTCTGTCATATGAACCCGATTGTAACAGTACCATTTGGCTGCAATGCTATGGTTACTAGATGGTATTTCGAACCTAGAGAAACACAGTGTAGAAGCTATATAACTTGTCCACAATATGGAAATAACTTTCCTAGTCACAAAGCTTGCCAAGATATATGTACACCTGGACGTCCTATAGGTTTGTTTTTGTTCTCAGAAGTTGAATAAATTGGTCAATGTTTTTGTATTTAAAACTTTTTTATAAGAAAATAAATTAAATGGTTCATTGAACAACCATGTTTTGAACATTTCGTGTCTATTAACCATTTACAGACGATCTTAATGATTATCGATATAGCAAAAAGTCAGTCAGTCAGCTACAACGTATGACCAGGCACATATGCATCGGTCCAAGTTGCCATACCTCATTCACACAACAAGATGGATACCGGATTCATAAAAGTAGTTAATTCAGTGGTGGTAATATATAGAGGGAAGATTACATATAAGGATATAGTACAGGAAGAAAGAATTAGTTCGTAGGAAGAAAGATATGAAGCGATTTTAATCTCTTAGTTTAAGGGAAGACAGAGAGTGTATACACCTACGCCATTGTGATCGATTCTGAGCCATATCACACACAGTCTCCAACCATTGGTTACGATAGTCACGCGGACCCCAACCAAGTAGTCTGCATCTGCCAACATGGCTCAGACTCGAAGTTAGTGTCTCCAAGCACTGATGCCACGTTTTGGTTTGGCCGTCCCTAACTTTCTTCCAACCATCCCGAACACCGGTTAGAATTGCACATCGTGGTAGTCGGTGTTCGGGCATACGTAACATGTGACCCAACCATTTCATTCGATGAAGATTCACAACCTCATCGACTGATTTATCATCATTCCCTAATACCCTGCGTCTAACCTCACTATTACTTACCCGGTGATCCCAGCAGGTGCGAGCAATATTTCTAAGGCATCTGTGGTCAAATACTAGTAGCTTAAGAGTGTTTTCTACTCTTAATGGTCATGTTTCGCTGCCACAAATTCTGTTAATAAACGTGTGATGGATGAGTGTTATGAGTTGGACTTCAGAAAACGTAGATTTTTAAAGATGTATTCAATGAAAACACATTTTAAATAAAACATACATACTAAATGGTTTTCTATTAACTAGAATAAACCAAAACCAGTGTGTAACTAGACTCTTTTACCATAATTTCTAATATGACTGAAGGTCGATTGAAAATTTGATTCACTATGAAAAAATTCAATGAAACATTGAGAAAATCTCATTATTGGTGAAATCAAACACTAGGAGTGGATTGGGTTTTATGGAGAAGTATTTAGGTTATGTAAAGTTTCTGACTGACTTCCCCTAAATGAATGATTAAGCTTTATCAAGAAATAATCAGAATTGAAAATTTGGGGGCATTGGATTATGAAGATTCTGGGTTTTTAATAAAACTATTCCATGTCAAGTGATATTTACACATTACTGAAAAATTGCTAATTTAAAGATGATTCTCTTCATTGATTAATAGGTCTATGCATGATTTCCATTTGTTATGAAAGCTATTTTGACTATTAATAGATTGTGAAGCTAAGGTAATCAAGATTTAAATACTTGTATAAAAGCCTTTTAAATTAATATTTACCAAATGGTAAAATCCATTGCATTTTATGCGCTTGATGAAGTATTTTAACCAAAATAAAACGTAATTGTTTAATCATTTGAAATTTAAGTTCTCTGTTTATCGGTTCTACTACCATTAAAGCCAGTTTTGAAATGAAAACAACCATTTTATTTAGGGTATTTATCAAGTCTACTTTAATTGCTACTCTTGGTGTTCATCTAAGCGACTTCAAAAACATTTGGAAAATTTATGCTTAACATTTTTAGATGTCTGTCGACTTCCATATGATCATGGTGGATGTTCAAACTTTGAAAAACGATGGTACTATGACATGCATAAACGAATGTGTTTGCCTTTTACATACGGTGGATGCTTTGGAAATTCCAATCGTTTTTTAACAAAAGCAGAATGTGAAGGATTTTGCATGGGGAAAGATGTTTGTAGACTACCTTTACAAGCAAGTTTCATCTTCATGTTGTTACAAACTGATTAGTATCTTTATATTTTCAAATTTTATCCACAAATATTTGATTAGAACAGAGATTTCTGCTATCTATTCATTGTAATATCCATTTTGTAAAATTTATTGGTTATACATCATAGTTTTCAGAGGGAATTTATCAACTGTAGTTAATTAGCTTATCATGTTCATAGTAATATTGTAGTAATTTGATCTCTAGCGGTATTTGAACATAGTAAGAAATATAATCGTGCTTATTTATTCATGGAACTTACTATGTGTTCACTTGGATCCATTATGATGTTCTTACTGAAATATTCATACTGTAGAGGATAGTTTCCTCTATATCTGACTCCAATAAATGATATCCCGTTAACTGAGTATTTAAGGCAGGCTAAATCTCCTAGTAGAATTACGGATTTACTCTAGATAATTCAGAAGTCTGAACACCAGTTGTAGGGATATTTTATTGTTCAAGATAAATAAAATCCACAAGAGTACAGCGAGCAAGCACACTGTGAAACAAGGAGAGAGTGTGTATGATTGAGCGCGTGTCTACAAATCAATCCTTAATCTATTCTCCTATTGGTTGTAACATACAGATAATCAGTAATTTATCCACAGTTGATTAACACTCATAAATATATATATGGACTTTCAACTCATACACAGACACACACACGCTCTTGGTTTCACAGTGTGCTTGCTCGCTGTACTCTTGTGGATTTTATTTATCTTGAACAATAAAATATCCCTACAACTGGTGTTCAGACTTCTGAATTATCTAGAGTAAATCCGTAATTCTGCTAGGAGATTTAGCCTGCCTTAAATACTCAGTTAACGGGATATCATTTATTGGAGTCAGATATAGAGGAAACTAGCCTCAGCAATACTAAGAACGCCATTTTAGGCAATAAGATCACTATATAGGCATTCATTTGTTGGCGATAACTTACTGTGGTAACTATTAATTATATTACATACATTAGTAATTTCACTTTAAATACAATCAAGTAGTCGTAAAATAGTTAACAGTGGTGTTTTCATCTAATGGATGTAAAGCTTGTTAACAAATAATTTCTTATATTTCGTAAATAAGTCGATTGTTTACATGAGGAAAACAGTTATAAAATATACTTTTGTCATTTTTTTTTCGAAGATATCATTGCTAATTTTTTTAATATTTTACTATGTTCAGAAGAATTCTACCGACACAAGTTACCCTGAAAGATTCTATTATGATCATTCTAGAAAACAGTGTCTTCCATTTCGTTTCACTGGTCTACTGGCGCATGGCAACAATTTCCCATCACTTAGTGCGTGTAATGCAACATGTATTTATGTACCAGACATTGAAGTAATTGCCGAAAAAATTATGCTAAGTTCTAATTTAAATACTGATAAAAAATCGGAAGAATCAAACAAAACATTAATTCAAGCATCATCTATGGAAAATCCTACAAATACGCAACAAATGACAGATGAAAGCACTTCAATAAATGTTCATAGATTACCAAATGATAATAAAAGTATGTATATAGCTGTAAAACATTTTGCATGACTTGCTAAAAAATTTAAATCCTTATGGTTTTAAGCACTTTCGTATGGGTGGCAAAATATAATATAAGCTTGTGATATGATTATATAATAAATAGGTTATATTTTCTCAATCTTATTTCTTTGTCTAAACGATATCATTCTTTGTTAGTAATTATTGGGATTCGCATGATATTCTGCTGAACATGGTTTATTTATGTTGATTACGTGATACCATCAATAAGATGAATTTGTGTTTGGATACTTTATCATTCAACTCAAGTAATATGTAGATGATAATTGTTTCAATATTAAATTTCAAATTTATTAATGTATTCGACTAGAGAGAAACAAAGTGAAAAGCAGAAAAGTTCATTCAAAAATTAACGTATTTGGTTGTTAAAAAGCAACAATATCTATGAATGATGACTTGTTTGAAATGAATTTCTTTTAGTGTTTAGTGTCAGTAAAATAGTGAATGAAACTGACTAGATTTACATACTTGAAGTGGAACTGTCAGAATTTGTTCAATTTATCTTAGGTAAAATATGGAAACGCAGATGTTGAGGTCTGTAGTGTTGGTTGCTTTTTTAAGTTCATATAGCTTATTCTAGCTTCCGGACAGTTCAATCTATTTATTCTTCTTAAGCCATATTTTTACCTTGTCAGTTATCCGCTTATCAATCTTGACTATTTTTATGTAAGCGTATGTGTGTGGATTTCTTAACCTACTCATCACATGTCTGTAACTTATTTTTGTTCGATTATGAATATTGATTGGCCAAATGGAGTTGGCACACACGCTTTCTTCACTGCGCGTCATTTATCTTTGCTCCCTTCTCTTCGCTATCTCAACTTCGTTCCCACAATTGTTCGTCTGGATTAACGATTGTATGGAGTATATGTATTCGAAGTGTATTCTCGTACTGGACTTATTCAGTTCCGTTATTCACTAACGCGAGTTAAGTCGTTAATTGCAAACAAGGTTTGACGACATGTATATTCCAATAACAATTAGAAACGATCTAAATGATGTCAGATATTAGGTCACTAAATGTTCAGCTTCCGGAAGTTATTCAAAGTCGAACCAATTTTTATGATTAATTAGTAAAAAGTTAAAATCAAAAATCATTATCTTATTTCTGTTGAAAGTTACACATACTTATTAAAAAGATTCTTACATGAAATATTTATGTCCCATATAAATTTACGAAAGAAGTACCTTAATATTGAGTGTGTTTAGTGAAATTTACCATGTAAACAGTTAATTATTTCCAAATTGAATATCTGTTATTCAAAACATTTGGAAAAAATTGTAGATTATTCTTTCTGGTGTGATTTTTTCTTTCATTCAATAACTAATTACCTTAAATTTTTATTATTTCAGTAGTAAAGGTATTAATCAAAGAAATTTTATGCTAAATTACATCTATCTATATAAATAGATTGTGAATAAAAAGTGGAATGTTAAGTAGTTGTGGCAAGCCCATTTGGCTACTATATCATTTGTCTATTCATTGTAACTCAGACTCTTAATTCACTATGTTAATTTCGGTGTGTATGATCGAATGCATGTCTGTACATTAACTCTTAAGCTATCCTCCTATTGGTTTCAATGTGGAGATAATCAATAATTTATCCACAACCGATTAACTCTCAAAAAATATGTATGGGTTTTAAACACACACACACACACACACTCTGTTTCATCGTGTGCCTGCTCACCGCACGCTTGTGGATTTTTACTAATCATTAACAATAAACTATCTCTATAACTGGTGTTCAGGCATCTCAATAATCTCGAGTAAATCCGCAATTCTACTAGATTAAGCCTACATTAAATACTCAGTTACGGGATATTATTTATTGGAGTCAGATATTGAGGACATTAGCCACAACAAGTTATAGCCTCTTCTATTCTATGGATTGAATGTAGTAAAGATAGTGAATTGTAATAGATTTATGATTACATATTCAATATTGACTTATTGGAGGCATAAAACTAGGTAATTTATCTGTTACCTATTTCTATCGGATAATATATAATCCCTGAGAAAAAAATTTAGTTACCATGATGATTAAATTCCATTCAATTTAATACCTCATTTACACATGTTGTTACTGTGGTCATGAGATATTAATTTATTAAAATAATACATAGTTATTACACAAACTATAAAGATAAAAATATTTCAATAATCATAGTGTAGTGAACGGCACCACAAGTGGTGACAACCAAATGTATTTGAAGACGGAATTACGGGACATGTTAAAAAAATCTGAGAACCATTCATATACAAAATGTTAGTCAGTCATCTGATACTTCATTGTTCTTTCGATTCCACACCAATCATTCTTTGTTCTCGTTCTCGTCTCTTCGGTCTTCTTAACCTTCTGCTTCAAAGCATTTCACTTTGAATTGGTGATACATATTATCTACATCTTTCGACATCAGTAGCATATACCACAATAGAAAAACAGTTTTAGCCTAAAATTACATATTATTGTTATATTTTTAGTCGCTTAAAAATCTTAAACGTCATTTGTTTTCATAATGTTTTTTTGTGTTCATTCCAGATATCTTGTCGGAAAAATTTCCATGTTTACCGTTCATAACTAGTAGTCAATATGATAATATGGATAGACATACATTTTGTAACAGTGAAGATATAATTCATGAATTAGGTTATCGATTTCAAGTAACATCAAGTGTTCAAGTAACGGATGAAATAATTGATGGTATTTGTGTACCCATTCTAGTACCTATTTGTTTAAATGAACCAAAAAGATTGTACGGGCAGTTAAATATATATGAAAGTCAAATGATTGGACGTGTCTTTAAAACTGAAGCAGAATGTGAAGCAACTTGTCTACTTAAAAGTAGATTTAAAAGAAGTATTATTATAAAGGAAAAGTCATTTAACACGACTAAAAATGTACATCAATTATTAAGTACGATTTTGGACAGGAAATCTAAATCATTAGGTAAGGTACAGTAATCTATAAATAATACCATATGATTTGAGAAAACATATCAAAACTGACCTTTTTATACATTTAATACGAAGTTAGAATTTTATCAATTTATATAAACAATAATTGTCTAAGCATTACATCAATGACTGTGTTTTTTTCCAGAACAAATATTTAATACTAGTTATGTTTTTGAGATTTTAAGAGAGTCGACATTTTTAATTTGATGATAAATCTATAACTGAGAGATGAGCTTACTAGAAAGAATTCAATCAAAATATGGATCTGTGAACTGAGCCTTTACATTGAGTAGCTTTTAAGAATCAAAACGGATTTTTCTACTATTATCTATACACTGACAAACACCATAACATCGCCATACAGAATCTGTCAAAAGTGTTCTAGACTAAAGAGTTTGCAATTAAATGAATAACTATCATTATTACTTATTTTTTTTCCGTGTTTGGTGATGGCGATCGTTCATTAAGAATGTTTATTTTCAGCCTCATAAAGACTAATGTCTCTTGACAGTCTCAAGCATTCTTCATTCTTTTGTTGCAGAAAGTGACCTTACTGCTAAGCTATTTAGATCACGATGTACTACCAAAGAAAACGTTTTACAAAAATTATCATGTTTTCTTGTCACTGGTACTGCTGGCATTTTATTCAATACATTTGTGGTTCACCAGGTTAAGTAACTAAACAACGTGATAGGTATGAGTAATAATCAACACAATTATTGTTTAAACAAATAATTTCAATTAAAATAACACATTTAGGACCCATCCAGTCATTCTAATCAAATTCAATTTTTTCCTCAAATCACTCGGAAAATGCAGTAAATTACAAACGTTGCTATTAAGGATTCAGTTCATACCGAATAGTAAATCAAGAACTCCATTATTATTTGATGAGTAATATACAGAACCTTTAATACGAACATCAAGACAATTCTACTCTACGGAGCTGAAACTTGAAGAACTGCCACAATCATAATCAAAAATATATAAGTGATTCTAAATAACTGTCTACACAAGACACTCAATGTCCGTTGGTCGGATACTATGAGCAACAACCTACTGTGTGAGAACACAAACCAGCTTCCAGTTGGAGAGAAAACTAGGGAAAGACGTTGAAAGTGGATAGAGTTGGATGGAGAATGCCTTTGCTCCTCCACGAGGAGTAACAGGCATAAGTAAGTAATGTACATTATAGAAGTAGATTTCATCGTACAAAAGGCAAGCCTTTTTGGTGGATGAAAACAAATAATATATATGGTAAGTTGGACAGTGATTATGAAAACAACAATCATAACGTTCAATTTAACATTTATGGACAATTTCAGAATTAGCGATCTTTAATTATGTTATAAAACATAAAGCAAAGAATTTGTGATTACCTTTGCGATGGTTTTATAAGGTATATCATTATGTCAATTGTTACCTTAGAAATTAGAAAAAGGCTTGGAAACGTGTCATTATTGTAGTAAAATTTTATACATTAATGGTAAATTATATTGCAGTTAACCCGCGTCAGTTCAAGATTTTCGATTCACATGAGTGGGCTGAAAAAAACAATACAAGTTATTAACATTTTCGTAAACAAGAACCATCCGGCTACAGTCTGATGATATCATTTAAAATAATGTATGTTTCTGTTTCACTCAACGACAGCAATTCTTAACAGTGAATATCAGCACCAACCTAAAGTATCCAAAAATTTATTTTTGATCAATACATTTATGTTTCCTAAGGAATGGATCGATTGTTTAAGTACACGATCTTACATTTATCGTAAAGTGAAAATTACTGAGCATACATTTCCAGGGAATTTGGTTCTACTGCATCAGTTGATAAAAGTGAATTCACAAAATAAACACTCGTAAATTACAACAAAAACCATATATATATTTCTTTGCCATAAAATTATGTTGAATCATCACTACTACTGATAAATAGTAAATATAAATAAACTTATACTGAATAGACATTTAAACATTTATTACTCTTAAAGTAGTATAAGTGAATTTGAAAAAAAAATCAGTGATTGTTTGTGGTTATATTGATTAGAAAAGTGATTCACTTTGTATACATATTTAAGATTCATGATCTATTAAGTCAAAAACATAAAGTAGAATTATATTATCTTGTATGTTTAGACGTAATGGATATCTTAAATGGTTCAGACATCAGTTAATACTAACAACTGATAACATTTCCAGCCAAAGTAAAATAAACTAAATACGTCTGTAAATATAAACAAATAAGTAGGTTTCTACTGAAAATTCAAGGGACATTTTTTACTTTTTTAATGTACAAAGCTTCTACAAATGAAGATCATAGAAACAAAATAAATTAAAACCCGGGACATAAACTGAAATATTTGCATAAATCTACTAATAAACATTTCAGTTTCAGTTTGGTAAAGACAGGGGACTTGATGACCTCTTTTACTCGTGACAATGAATGCTTCTCAGTTAATCAAACTTTTTTTGAAAGAGTCGACAGATGAAGCTTCAATCACATGTTCAGGTTAATGAATTCCACTCGTTGATGATTCGGAGAGAAAGTCAACAGTCAGCTGACAAGTAATTTGTTCTGGGCTTGTGAAATTTTTTGGAGTGTCCTCGTAAATTCTCTGTTTTAGAAGACAAGAAAAATGAGGGCATATTAGGTGAAAATTTATTAAAAAGCAATTCAAAAACTGTAATTAAGTCACCTTTAGTTCTTCGATATGACAACGGGAATAGCCTTAGCTTGGCTAGTCGTGCATCATACGGGAGCTTCGCTATTCTGCAATCAGCTTAGTTGCTGTTCTCTGAACCTTTTCCAAAGGCTCACTGTCTTTTTTAAGCAAGAGCTAGCCGCTTGTATTGAGTACTCAAGTTTAGGACGCTTGAATACTGTATAAAAAGTCAAAAAGTTTTAGCTTCAACATGACTAAAGGCCCTACGTATTGACCATAGGGTTCTAAAACCTGTGTCTTGGCTAACTATGACCACTAATTCATTGTGTGTCTGGACAACAGGTGGCTCAGTGTTATTCATCATGTATATATCCGCACCTTGATAACCAATATGCATCACAATACACTTGGAAGTATTTATCAGCAACTGCCAAGTATGAGACTATTCAGACAATTTCTCCAGGTCATTTTGAAGCTTCAAGATGTCACCGTTACTCTTTATCGCTCTCCATATCTTGACATCGTCAGCATATAGCAAGACCGATGATGATAAAATACGAGGAAGGTCATTTACATACAGGAGGAATAAGATTACATTTAACAAAAAATAAGGAAAATATTGCCAATGTACTGCCAAGACGCTGGAATTTTAGGTGTATAAAATATTCATTGAATACATCTTCCCAAATTTCTTTTAAATGAAATGTTAGGATAGTCGGAAAAAAAATTTTGTTTTAATTATTGAAAAATGAAATATTTAAAGAAATGTAGCCATCTAGTTATCAATGTGAACTAGAAATATTTCTTCATTTTAGGTATAAACGATATTGAACTCTTAGTTGTTTCATTATTCATGTTCGTTAGTAACAGTTTACTGGAAATGCAACATAAATAGAAAAGTCACACTTTTTTTATTAAATATCTGTTTTTCTTTATTTGGTTACTGACAAATTTTGGAAATACCTGTAGGTAAATACAACTTAATTGTCACTATAGTTATTCAAATATGACTCAGAACTAAATGGTGATTAGGTCGGATTGATTTTAATGAAGTTTCAACATCCTTGTGATGATTTGACTAAGCTAATTTCAGAAAACAGATGTTTCAACTAACCGTAAGTTGTTGTGTAAGAGATGATTCAGACTGTTTTGAATAGTTTTTACACAGAGTTTACTTCACGTTGTATTTAATCTTTTGAACTACTTCACAGAAGTACCTTCAACGTTCCAGGTTAGTGAACACAGTGTCACAAAATATCACTCATTAAATTCATAAACATACAATAACCATATTAACGAAAAGCTTCGAAGGAATCAAAGATTGTTAGTTGACTGAAACTTAATTAACATTCAGACATTAAAATCGTCTCCAAAAATTGAATTCATTTAAAACTTATTGTTATCAGAAGTGTAGCAATGAACTTTTACATAGCGTGCACGATATCAATATGTTTTGTTCTACTTTATCAACCCATAGTTTTGAATATTTGCTCTTTATCTTTCCCGGAAGTTGTCGAGATACCTCAATATGCGGCACTATATGTTCGAGCTTTCAACCTTTCAATTTTCAATTGAACAATTTAGATTCTTATTTCCAAACTTTAGCAGACAGTGATTTTTGAGACAATTTTTTCTAATAGTCAGCTGTATTTGTGTTAGCTATAAAAGTACTATAATAAAAATATCTGAAAAATTCATGGCATTAAAAGAAACCTATTTCATTTTGTATTCAATTTCATCTAGTCTTTACATCATTGAATAACTGCTTTTAAAGCCAGTTTAGTCCATGAATATATTTTAGTGTCACTGCATTGTTTAGTATATCTTCATTAGTTTTCTGACTAGAAAAACTAATCACTGCCATTCCTTGAAACGCCGTGTTTAGTGAAAAAAGTTATGAATTACATTTTTCTAAATCTGTTGAATTAGAACTTAATGTTCGACTTTCAACTTCAAACTGAACCAATTTCAAAGCATTGAAGTATCGGGAGCTGGGTAGATCGACAAATCAAAATTTTATATCAGTCATTATCACAATGATCAGAAACGGTAGAAACAAAAGTGCTCATCACTTAGAACTTCATTACATCGACATACATTGAATAATTTGGAGTGGATAACTACAACGTTTTTAGTATAGTAATCGCAGAGAGGATATTTAGAACCATTAATCTTTTTCATTACTTACAAATCGTATATCAGTCAATATGTAGGTTGGAGGCGACAGAACTTAAAATAAATGCTATCAATGAAAACGGTTCCCATTATTGAGGTTCATATTTCCCATGTGCTGACGTCTGTTTGAGGACCATCAACAATCAGATAGCTTGAAGTAGCTAATCTTTCTTAATTTTAGGCTTTCTCTACACGACACCTGATGTTCCTAAATAAAAATCTCAGCATGACAAGTGACGTTGGCTGCTGATGTAATAAATTCCTACACTATTTACTATTTCTATGCTCCTCTATACTATCTTCATTTGTTTACTAAACCATACCGAAAATCGAAAATGAAACAGAGTAATTAAATGTTTTGTAAGGTAGTCTTATTGTCATTGAAATTCAAATGCTTTCCTGTAAGTCATGAATTTGAAAGCGGTCAGTCAAAACACATCATACACTTAGAATATATTTATAGACGTAACGTAAAAAGTACTAAACATTGTTGTCAAAACATAGCAAACTTCCGAATTCTATATCAATATCTTATATCAATTCTTAACTATCAGTCCTTTGATCTGCATTCATATTAACGACACCGCTAAAAATTATCAACATTCCATACATTGCAGAATGTTAATGTTTATTTTAAAATAAAAGTATATAAGAAATGAAATGTGTAGAAATACTAATTCGACCGAGGTCAATTGAAACTACTTATATATTTAATTATCTAACCTCATTTTTGTTGTAGAGAATATGTGTAGAGGAGCTGATCGGTATCTGTGATTGACTTATATTGTTAAATCAATTTAGACAGACACAACTAGTAAATATTATTTTACGTCATAACAATTCGTACAAATTCGTTAACACCATAAATTACAAGCTTAAAATAGACTAGGCTTTTAAGTATGCAGTAAGAAATCCATTGCGACCACACAAATCTCTATTTGACTTAGTAAATAAAAGTATTAATTTCCTTCCTCCTCTTTAGTGACTATCGACTAACTTGAACGGTGAATAGTTTGTTACCAAATAATACATTATGATGTGTTGTACTACTGTTTAATCGAACTTTGGTTTTCTACATGTCGAAAAATCCCTAATGGCTTTTGTTCTATTCTAACTTGAATCGATAATTTTTAGTTAATAATATTTTTACAATTCTTATGAAGACAATGTTGTATTCTCAGCATTATCCAACTGTTATTGATGTGAGTCTGTCATAGTATTGTTGAACAAGGAGAGTTAATTGCATCATTTTTTGTGAGATTGTCAGTTTTTAAAAGGAAATACGTTATTGAATTACAATATTTTTCGAATTTTCATCTAAAACGTACTACTTTAATATCTTGTTGTACTAAATAGATTTGTCTTACTTCAAGACTCTTCAATAATATGCTTCATGATATTGAAGTATCTGGTAAAGAACTTATTAAATGTATTTTTAAACACTGAAAAGTTTAATTTTCTAAGTTATTTTCTCATTTTACAATACTGTAGTGAAGGAGAACACAGGTTAGGACAACCGATTACCTTTAGCATAAAATTGCACAGTTACTTGATAAAATAGAAAAACCATACTGTAATACTTCATTTGCAAAATGTTCATTAATTGTCTCAGAATTAATTGTTCCTGCATTTCCATAACAATTGCTTTCTGTTCCCGTTTTCTCTCCTCCGTCTTCTCAACCTTTTGCTGCCAGACATTCTATTTCTGACTAGCATTATATATTACTTATGTCGACATAAGTAGCACACAGAATACTTTCTCTGACTATTCACAAATCTTATATTTTACTTGTAGCTGAGACATAACTGAATACATCTTCTGGTTTATATATATATCATGAAAAAGTATATTTAACTTTAACAAGAAATAAAATTCCTTTCTTTTCTTGAAGGTGGCTTAAATGATTTGGTTTATCCAACATTAAACTACAAGATGATAACAAACAAGCGGTAAGTTAAACTTTAACAAAAGAATATTAATTTCTCATAAATTGTTATTTGATTTAAGAATTCGCATTCTTTTATCTTCTACAGTTTAATAAGTATCCCTTTTTATAAGTTGTATAAATAGGAATTAATGCAATGTAGACTAGATATGTTACATTTTAAAAAATGGGTGTGCAAATGTAGCGTATACTTATACATTTTAATAGTAATAGAAAATCAAACTATCCCTAATAAAGAATACAACCGTTTTTGATGAAAGCCATCTTTACTGACTTGTACAGTCACTTAAATTTCTTCGAGATTTAACAAACATGCCAATGCAACTTCGATTTTGTGAAAATAGCTTACTCACTTCAAAATCAGATGGGAATCTTAGACAACAGCCAGGTGAAAGTTAGTTCTAACTATTTAACCTCATACAGGAATAACTTAGTGACTGTGATATATGAATAAATATGTTGAGTCTTATATACGAATGAAGATGAATAGTAGTATGAATCAACCAAAGTTGTAGCGTTTATTTAATATATTCTGTTGTTAACACAGTCCACAAGCCAAGTAGTAATTATGAAGTATTTACTTCCTTCTAATATTTTCAGTAAACAGTTTAGGACTATTTGTATTCATTTTTAGATACAACAACATATTCCATGCAGTCACACACTTTTTCAACCAGTCAAATTTTAAGAAGACTTTGACATTAGAGGTGTTAGAAAATGAACAAATTAAACTCCCATGTTGGGTCGTATCTCAAAACAAACCATATGTTCAATGGATTCATATACTATCAGGAAAAAGGTTAGCTTTGCCAGCGAACTATGTTGATGAATTGTGTTTGTAATTTTAGATTACTGATTCGTAATTTAATTCATCTTGTAAAACTACCAGTGTAAGTGACACGAAGAATGTATCTTGACATGACCAAGTACTTTAGGCTAAAAGTATTTCAACATTTGGTGTGTCAAACCATATTTCTATGTTAAAATATGATTAGTTTCGACATCTTGATAGTTTTTTTAATGTTTGTTACTAAAAATTTCTGTGCTATACAACACAATAATGAAGAAGTAATGGAGTTCTGAGGGAATATCAAACGCTAAAAATCATTTAAACCAGCAGTTGTACGTTGCCATCATCAGTCTGCTTCCAAAAGATAGTCTACAAAAATACTTTGACTTTAAATCACCATTGGATGAGAGACAAATTTGTCGGTAAAAACAATTGTTGAAGGTATTGTATTATGTTGGAGGGTGTAATATTTTACTGAATATACCTCACCTATAATATGAAAAAAGTGAAACGTTTAGCATTTATCTTCAAGTGATCCAAGTTGGAGTAGACAAAGTGGACACTAAACTTACAACGCATACCATATGAGTTCATAAATATCAAGTTAATTAGATATTAAATTTATCGTAATTTAGTTATAGTATTCTATAATACGAGTCGATCATTCTAATATTTTATACATGTTAAATTTATTTGGCTCAAATAGCGTTTAAATAAAGAGAATGTGTTTCACCCTTCATGCCATTATATACTATCAAGTTATTGTTAATATAAATCAGTATAATGATGTTAGTAACGTTTAGTAAACTTATAAGGACAAATTGGAAGCATAGGTTAACCTGTTATTTTCAAGCAAATTACAAGGACAATAGATAGGCATATATATTAAATTTTATTCTGCAAGTAAGGTAACGATGAAAATACAATGGTCTACGTAGCCATATTGCCTATTGTCTGAACATTTTTACTGATCGCCTGGGTGTAGATGAATATTATGTTGACACAAATTCGTTTCAATAGAGGATCACTTACCTAAGATAGTAAATCTGAACATGTTTATCCTCTCCTTTATAATCAGTGGACATTACTTAAATACTATACAGAAATATCTGGTTCCCAGCACAAAAATGCACTTTTCTGTAAGACTGTTTTTAGCTGGTTTACATGACCATCATACTCTCAACACTTTTGAAGGAACAAACACAACGTTCTGAAATGTTTTTTTCTACAACACTCGGTTTATTAATTATTTGCAGTTTCTTGAACTCAATGACTTCAATATGAAAGTTTTACTCGATAAAATGTAGTCTTACATTACACAAATTTTTCTATAAAGTAATTTTACATTATAAACAAGTACTAGACGGGTCCCATAATCCAGGAGTATAATTTACAATCATATAGTGTTTAGTCATAATCGTTTGAAAATATTTTTTCAACAAACATTAATATAAACCTTCCCTAATAGTTCAAAGGTAAACAAATTAAAATGTCGCCTGACTGAAAGATGCGTTTTCCACGCTAAGGTTAACTTTAATATTTCTATCAAATTTTTAGGTATCCAGTGACAGTTCATCATCATTCTAAAGATACAAATATTTGGATATCACATTTATTACTACAAAATACTAAAAATCAGTTGCATACAGGAGGGTGGGTTTGTGAAGCTTCCGATTTAGAAACTACAGACTATGCAAAAGCTACTATGATTTTAAATGTAGTTTCTATACAACCAAATAAAATACTTGCTATGAGATCTCAAAATGCAGTATCGTTACATGATACGATCATGGTACCGAAGGATGGATTGGTGTTTCTCAGTTGTCCCCATAATCAGTATTTAGGCGACACTATATGGAAGAAAAATAAGTAAGTATTTGCCTACAATTTCACATTAGCTTACACGTTAACTCATACTTACTTCTTATTCAATGTAATTTAAGGATTTTAAGCTATACTGTAAGGGGGATTTTGAAGATTTTTTAACTTCAACTGAAGTTAAATAGACATTATTGAAAATCAGAAAGTCGTATACAGATATTTGCCCTAGTATGGAAGACTCACTAATACGCCTTAGTGATGACATATGTATTAAATTCAGGACTATTGGTGCCATTTCAACAGGTTAGGCTTTAGACTACAAACCAGTGGTCTAAATGTTTAGATTTTATTATTCCTCGATATTGCGCAAGCATCGTTCAACGTCATTGATGGGCGACTGCTTCATATTCGGCATGGCTGAACTTCAATGTTCCCTAGGTATTTGAAAATTGTTTTCACAGTCAGTTATAAAGTTTTAATGAATAATCAGTTACGATATTTAGTTTAAAGTGAATGTTTTTCACAGATGATAGTTAATGTTCTGATTTTACCACCTATAATTCAGAGATAAATTTATAAGAATCGAGATTATTATTCTCCTATCATTTAGATATTGTTCAAATGATTTATATCGCTAGTTAACGAAATTTCTTTATATTTCTTACTTTAGAGAAGAGATTTTTCAGGCAACTTCTGAATATCTGATAATTCAACAGGCAAATCCTGAAATTCACACAGGAATCTGGATTTGTGGTATTAATTATGATAACACTTTTATTGAACTGTATAAATTCAACATATCTGTAGGTTATCCACCAGAACTTCAAAAAACTAACACCAATTCATTTGAATCTATTTCTCTACATTCACTTACCTGTCCAATAAATACACAGGCGAACCAGCAGGATATATTAAGTGGTTTGAATGTGAGCATATGAATAATTGCTATCCTTTGAGAACTGAATTATATTCTTCTATGTTAAATCAATCAAATCTTATTATGTGTCGTATTGGAAATATCTGGGGGATGGATGAAATTTATTTTAATCTAACTTCTTGATAGATATATATCCATATATATTTAATTAGTGTATATGTGTTATCTTATTCAGTCAATCAATTTATTTACATATTTAATCTTTTAATTGTTTTTCTAAATATATTATGTTACATTACATTTAAATAAACAAATTAGATTACCTCTTTTACTGTTGTGCATATTTTCAGCTTTAAGTTATGTTGGTGAGATACTTTTACAAATGTATGTTAAATGCTCATTTGCAATCAGTAATTTTGGTCATTATCGAATGAAATAGACCAAGAACTTTGCTAGGATTCTATATGATGTCCATGATCATCAATATATTGATAATTGAATTAGGCTATTAAATGTGTTACTACTGTCTAAAATAATTTCATCATACAATCTGTTAAATATATTTGTTAAGAAATGTTTCATTAAAATCAATTGGGTTTGATTAAAATGTAGTAGAATCATCGACTAACTTCAGATTGATAGTTTATACTAGCGTAGTTCATTATTGAGTACAGAGTTCTTAATAATCATTTGTAATTTAAATTGGGAATAAAGAATATAAGGCTAAAAGAGAAAAGATACAAAGCCGAGATCATCTTTATAAAATGTAAATCTACCCAAAACATATCAGTATACCTTATACTATATCTCTCCATAGGCTACTTATTCAAAATAAGCTCTGGAACTCACTGTTGTTTGTAGGTTTTGTTGTGTATATAACTCAAGTATGAGATCTATTACTTATTGTAATTAGTTTTTTTGTATTCTATTGAAATTACTAGAAATAATGTGAATGAAATACTTAACTGTCAAGAAGAAAAAACATGTATCACTGAGGTCAGTATGCAATTACTAATGTAATTGAATATATCTTTGCATCTGTATCAAACCATCCACTTATGCCTTCTATTGATTTTGTACGTCGTTTTCGACAGAATAATATCAAGTTATTCAAAAACCTATTATTAGTATTATAGTATAGCAGATGTTCTTTTGTGTGATAGAATATTTGACAAGAACTCAGATGTACAAAGTTACTCTCACTAACATTAAAAAGAAGTTTGAAAGTTGTGGAGATGATAGGTTATACGTTGTCGTCAAACTATTTACTCTGGATTTGTAGAAGGTTAAAATTTTCAAAGAAAATATAATTAAAACATGCTTTTCATCGAAATTCAAAATAAACTTCAAATGTAGATTTTCAACTAGTTCAAAAATACATAGGATACCCGGTGTTATGCTAACTAAACGTAATACGTGCTAATCACTGAATATAGTTTGTTATGCAAAAGTTTCATCTATTCTATGTATTTACTAGTTTAATAATCTGGTCAACAATTAATTTTTCTTTAGATGTCCGGCTAACGTTTTTTGGCAAGCTCTTGCCATTTATTATTACACAACTCTTTTGGTTAAGCTGCTAATTTTTAACACAAACATCAGTTGTTCGGAAAAATGTTGAATTGGTGTCAAATGAGAGTCGCTATTTGTGATTTGTTAATAATAATAACAGAGCCAGTGAAAGCCTGATAAGTTTCATCCAAAAGAATATATTTTCTCACCATAAAATGTAGATAAAACGTTCTAGGATAGCTTAATCTTTCCCACTCATTTTTTATTGATTTATGATTTCCTGAATAGATTAAATGAAGACCCAATAGAAATGTAACTGGTTTGAATTTTATCAGTTTTTTTCATTACAAAATAATAACAAGACCAAGTTATTTACATAATTTGTTTGTCGTGTTTCGTAGTTTACTTCTATTTAATTGAATACAGCAACTTGTTCTACTGTACCATTGTAAGTTATGTTATAGATGAATTATAGGAATACTGATTAGTTGAATATTCTTAAATCAGAAATGGTAGTTAGTAAATTCTGTCACAAAACCTAACCTTCATATATGATAAATATATGCATAAAATTAAATCGCTGAAACACTGTTTTCAGTTATAATGAAGTTGGTTTATCTTTTTTGGATAGATGATATTGTGTTTTTTGTAACTTATTGTTGTTTATCTTGAAGCTAAATACAACTAATATTATAATTCGTAAACATTTCAAATAGTCATGTGTATCATGATTTTGATTTTATCTCAGTATATAAATGTGGCATTATACATAATTGTAAAATAAATAAGACTTGAATTCACGTGGTATTGTTTACATGAATCTTCACACTGATGTTTAGGACTGCACTTGATCAGTCTCTTATTAGCATATGAACATACTGTGCGTATTGTCTCGATATAGCCTTAATTCACAAGCATTATAAGCAAAGATAGATATTGGCCAACACTGGAATCCAGGATGCGCGTTTCGTCTTATTCGAGATTCGTTTATTCTAGAACGCGAACACAATAGCGTTCACTTCAAACGTCATCGTGTTATCCAGTTAGCTACTGACCTTTTTACTTGTATTTTTGGAAGTACAAAAAGTGTCTGTTAGTAAGGGTTTTAGCATTCAACTGCATGAGTTACCGATAATGTTAGTACAGCATATTACTTAAATTAATACTGAGTATATATATATGAGATAGTTCTATCATGTTAGGATAAATATTCTGGATTAATTCTTTGAATTTACCATACTACACAACATTACAAATTACCAGTATCTTATTATACGCATATGATTTTCACTATATCCTTGTTATTTTGAATACTTTTACTAAAATACTGAAAAAACTTCCTAAAATGTTAGGAATTCAATGAATATCTTCAAAGAAGTATTTTATCATTATAACAAACTACTTGTGATCAACTTAACTAGTGACATGTATATTCAGTATAAAACTTAGTATTATATTGATGATAATACTTTTTTCTTCTATTTTTTTTCCATGAATGAAAATAAATTCAAAGACAAACTGTTAAATAAACATTGTAACAGAATAAATGGAACATTTTAAATATGTATGTCATATTGTTCAAAATTGAAGTAGATATTTGTTTAAATGTTATTCACAATTAGTTTCAATTCAATACTGATTATAATCATTGTGTTATAATGGAATAAATATGTTTAGATTCCATTATTTGAAAGATTATCAAGCATATATATATAAATAAATGCCTGTGTGTTCCTTTGTAAATCTAAAAACCCATTAACAAATAAATGTAATGGGTTGAATTTCATTAACTACATAATTGCAAGAATAAGCAGAAGCCATTAATTCAAATAATGATCAGTTAATTTTAATAATAGTTGAAAAATCGTTTGTTTTTAATTTAGTATTCCATGTCAATATCACTCGCGAGCACTATATGATAGTTTAACTAAATGCTTGAAATTAAATATGATCAAAAGATACTACTGAAAAGTAAATGATAAAGACGAAAAAAAACAAGAAAGATTGAAGATAAGAGAAGCTTGATATAAATATAAATACACGATAATAATGTCAATTCCTTTGTGTAGAATGTTATTGTTAGTCTTCTATGATTGTTTGTTGTTTTTAAATGCACAATAAATCAAAGTTTGACTGTTTGCAATTGATGTTATGTAGTAAATAAACGTTTGTAAATAGAATAATTTATTTCATATCAACTTTAAATATGATAGTCAATGTACTCCATTGATGTCTAAATGAGTTTGTGCACTGAAGTTTTTTGCGCCAAAATTAAGCTACATCATTTTGATGACCACCATTTACCAAAGGCTACAAATTTCAAAACATTAGTTTTAGAATATTAAAATACATATAAACAGAGAAAACATTAAGTGTTAAAGTGAGCTGGGTTTCATACTAATGTGGTCTACTGATAAAGTCAAGGATAATTGTGATCATTTCAAATTTAAGCGAAGAACTATATTCTACCTAGTAACTTTATTTATATTTGTAGAGTTGTTTGTCTATGGTTGTTATTTGAACTGAAACAATTAATTATTATGATAAGAAACGATTGAAATTGATTAAATAAGTAGCCGTTACTATAGATAGCCTTCATCTTTCCTTAAAATAGTTCACTACATAGTGGTAGCATATGATTGGTTTATACTGGCACTATTGATCAACTTGAACTAAATGGGCCAATATTGAACTGTTCACTTTCTTCACCAGACTTTGCTTAGTTACACTGGGAGGTGTTTGCAAAATCCCTACAACGTCAACCAATATAACTTGTTAAACGCATTCCCTCTGAATTTTAGGCTCATGAACAGAGATTCGTTATTCACCGTTTGTATTTCGCCTATTCTCACCTTTGTGATCATATATTTAATTATAAACTTTCTAGGGCACCCGTTCTCCCTAAGAGTATTACTCGAGGTGTTTAGCTCTTCTCCAACTATATCCGTAGAACATATAGTGTCTATTCAGTAACTAAGAGTTTTGATCACGTTTCTTTTGTACTGTAGAAGTACAAATCTAAGGAAATATTTGTACAACGCTGTCCAGGTATTTTTTCTGTTTAAATTCTTTTTTACTGATTCATCCGATCTCTTAGTTAAGAGAACTTCCAAAAAGGCTATTCTACCGTTACTCTCTTCCTCAGATGTAAACTCAATGGTTAGATGTAGTTCATTAAGCTGCCTAAGAGCCTCCTGCTGTGATGTATTGTCCTTAAAAAGGATGAACGTATCATTTATATATCGAAAGTAAAATGCCAATTTTTGAATGATCCATATGAGTGAATTATTTTCTAATTTGACTAGAAAAATGTCAGGTAATATAAGGCCCAATGGTGAGCCCAATGCAACATCATCCGTTTGTCTATAAATTTCTCCGTTGAACTTGAGATTCACACTCATTGTGAATTTCAGTAATAACGCTTTTACGACATTGATATGAACTGTAGTTTCAATTTCATTTCCACTCAATTGTTCACATATATCTTCTATTGTGTCTATGAGTGGAACAATGCACTTTGCCTTTAACCTGGTCTTTAGATTGTTAATTTGGATATATAATTGTAGAACATGAAGAGAATTTGTCTAAAGGAATATTCTTCGTTCAAATATTCGTCTTTTAATTAGATCTTAATTGTTAAAAAAAGTCTGTGAAGTAGTATGTGATGTAGCTTTTTAAAGAATTTTAAATTATCTTATTAGAAGTTTATTTTCTCATAGTTCACATTTTAGATATCCATTTGGCTTTCTAGTTGTTATCCAAAAATATTCACTCAAACATTTTCGCATACATAACAAAAGGTATTTATTTAGTTAATCCACTAGTGAACAGAAACCAAAAACTAGTTTAACATTTAAAATATTTCAATATTTTCACAGAATAATATTTCCTTAAGATACTTTTATCCTTTTTCAATTGAATTAATCTTTGTATTCGTTCAGTTGATTGAATATTATTTTACTGAACACTCATAGCAAATTACGTCTACAAATGGGTTACGGACATTGCTGTGTGAGTCCAAACTTTGATTACGTTTTGTGATGAATATTTGAAATTTTTTTTGTATACATATACAAATGTACATACTGCTTAACGACCAGTGAAAATCAAGTATAAAATATCTTGAACACGTAGTTACTGTTGTTGATAAAATGTAATAAAGTACCTCTGTATCATTTGTTTATTTACATGTTACATTTATGGGATGGGATTTCAAAGAACAATTATTGTCATACCAAAACTTACCGCATCATTCAAAATATGATAAAACATCCATTGATTATGCAGTATTATTTGATGAAAACAATTAGATTATCAAGATCCTGTTCCGTGTATTAAAATGACACACTATTGGTACATCCCTGGTTTACTCAAGTATATAGATATGGAAATCTTCAGTTATAAAGCTAAATATTTTTATTAATTTTTCCTACTATTTTAAGTTGGATTGAATTAATTTACAGTGACAAATTCATTAACCTTAATAAATTGGTGCAGTTCATATACGTATTTTATAGATTTTGTTGAAAATACATTTTCTGATCACGCGTTGATCATTTGTGTCCCGCTAGCTGTTTCTCCATTAAATCATTGAGTAGATTCTTCTAAATCAACTACTAAACAGAATTCAGTTCACCTGCTTTTAAACTCTGTAGAGGTTGTTCTTTTGTCCTCTTTTTAATTCTTAGTTGGTTAGAGTACTTTGGATCATAACGTACGTTTTACGTATTCAAGAATATCAGGAGTATTTTACAAATTACAAGTATGTATTTGGAAAATTTTCAAATGACTGAAAGAAATGAGAATAATCAAGGCCTAACGATAAGTATTTCTTGAGTAAACCGTAGATCTATCAATATTACCGGAAGTTATTCGAAATAATTAATTATTTGTCACAACATTCTCTATCAAAAAATTAAACTTACTCGTTTGACTTCAGATTTTTTTAAATTTAAAGCAAGTTGATCCAACATCTTTTCCGCTTCAATTACTTCTGGTGAACGATACATACGTGCTTTCATTTCAGAACCTAAAATCAAAATGAAATAGTAAATATTTTTACGTATATATCTGATAATCATTCTTTTCAAGAGCATAAATGATTTTCAATAACCGATATGTGTTCTTGCAGTTAAGATTTGGATATGTCTTTCCACACTTAAGGTCTAGAACTTTTGATCAAGTTCAAATTTGAATCGTACCCTTGACGTGCAAGTATGTAATCTTTGATCTCGAAAATTCTTTATGTGCACACCGTGGAACGCAATATAATGTTTGTATGTCCAAGTATGGCACCAAGTTATAAGAAATTATATAGAATTTTAAAAAATTCATCAATTAAGATACTCTAAAGCAACATATCTAGTACTTGACTTAATGATTACATCAATGTTAATAAATGGACAAATGAATTACAGAAACTGTAATATTTTCCAATTGAACATACACATAACATGACAAATAATTGGATTTAGAATACAATAAAATAAAGCATAATTCAAAGTTTAATAACACTCACCTCTTTCCATTTCCATAATTGTTTGTGCAGATGGTTTAGTTCTTGTTAAAGCTTTGTTTAATTCTGGAGAACAGTCTACTTTACGTAATCCAACCATCTTTTTGTATGGATTTTCTGAAAGTTTCATATAAAATGAAATTAAAAGATTAAAATTTGTTTATGGCTTATAAATTTCTGAAAATGTTCAAGCTTATCTAGAACAAGTAATAATCAAACAAACGACTATATAAATAACCATACCAAATTTAGTATACAAGATTGTTAAGGATACAGTTCTATTGATTAAACAGTGTGATTGTGGTGGAATGAGTATTTGTTGGTACAGTGAGTATCCATTGCCTTCAGACCAATACAGAAACGATTACAATCAAAAACCTCCTTATCTGGGTAAAAAAACTTCATAAACAAAAATATTCTTCAATATTGCTACCAAATAAAATCACATAGCTTTAAGAACTATTGAAAAGTAATCAAGAGACTAGTGATGTTAGACTAGAACTATTTTAATTTTTCAAATTATATACACGTTATCAGTTTAACTGGAAATGCTCGGTGACTTCCAGATCAAATCAGTGGTGTTAGCAAACATATAAAAGCATGTAAAATTATACAATGATTTGATAAAAGTCATATCATTTTAAAATTTAGGGTCGTTATGCTTAGAATTGCAGTCATGCTAAAAAATCTTTATATATTCCATACAAAACTTTCAGTGTTTGAGATCTTTGCAAACATAGAATAAACTTTTGACGTTAATGTGTTGTGGTTATTGTTCCATTTTGATATCTTCAGCATTTAAAGCGTTTTAAATTAAAGCAACTAATTATTTCATTCAATATGTTTTCTGTTTAGATCATGAACTGACTGATGTTAGACCAACATTGAAAACCTGGAAACACTGGATGGCCGTTTAGGCCTATTATTGGGAATACTCAGCAGTGCGCATCCACGATTCCGCTCGCAAGATTCGAACCCAGATACCTGTCGCTACTCGACACAGGTTAGCTTCACTGATCTACCTCAGTACAACGGAAGATGGTCACGCAATTTCGTGGATTGCATTGCTGAGTAGTCCCGCAATAGGACGAAACGGCCAATCAGTGCTTCCAGGTTTTCGATGGTGGTCTAGCATCAATTAGTTCATGATCTCAATCAAAAACTTAATAATCTCCATAACCTTATACTGAACATTATATTTTTTGATAAAACATTTTCTAGTTGGAACAATTTAATCACATGACAAATTCTTTTATTAGTCACATGTTTAATTTGTTTTAATGATGTAAATGATTATTAAATGTTTATGAATGTACTTCACAACTTTAATACTTTTCAGAAGTGGGATTAATTTTATCAGTAAAATACATTTTCTAAAAACCCTAACCTAATAATCCTTTGAACAACAGTTAGTAACCTACCATTGTATAAAGTGAAATGTTAATAAGTTATTTACCCAAGTATTAACTTCAGTGCGCTTGATATCATGTGCAAATAAATGTGTTTTCATTTAAAATAAAAAACAAGTAAATACAAAACAAACAGATGTTATATACATTGGGTTGGTTGTTGATATAATTAAAATTACTTGCCACACTTCTGTTTCTACGACTCTTTGAATTCATAGAAATAATCACTACCTGGAGAGTGTACAATTAATAGATAAATCTTTTTTTGTTATCTATGATTAATAAATATCTCAGTAATGTTTAATTTTATTTATCAAATCGACTTATGTTACTGATATGATACTGAATCCTTAGTCTTTCGAGCTATTTATGAATAATATTTATCTTATTCACTAAGATGAGTTCATGAGAAGCTCTTGATGACACCGAATCACTAACTGATTGCTTTTCATTTACAGTTAGGTATTACACACTGATCATCATTAAGTGTGAATACGATTACTACAATAAATTTCAGTACTGCCATTGAACAATGACAGTGAGTGGTATTTTTATGGTTCGTGGATCTGACTCCAAGAAGATCGTAATGAATGTTTGTTATCGCCTATCCTCGCATATAATCATCGACTTAAATCACGTTATTCATTAACGGAATCGAGTAAGTCGAATAACGAGAATGGACTTTTGAATACATATATTTCGTATATGGAGCGAATGGCATAGAGAGAAGAGAAACGACGCAGAGTGGAGATGGCGGGTAAGCCAACTCTCATTTAACCAAGCCCTAATCAATAATTATAGTTACACAAAAGTAAGTTACAGACATGTGATGAGTAATGAGATAAGAAATGTACACACACATAAGCTCATATAAAAACAGTCAAGATTGATAAGTGAATAAATAACAAGGTCAGAATGTGACTCAAGTAGAATGGGCTGTCCGAAGGCTAGAATAAGGTATATGGGCTTAACATAATAACCGGCACTACATTATAAATCACTTTGCTTTAATTCATGACTTGACTAAACATTTTTATTACTGATGATAAAGCTGAGCATCCAGGTTGCCGTTTAATTAGTGATTTTGCAACTATTATGTTAGTGATCTTTATTTGAATTTATCTTTAAATTGACTCAAGGCCCAGTCTCATAGCTCACGAAATCGAAGATAAAGGATTTTCGACCCTAGTAACGGATCTGCTTGTAGATTTGAAGTAATGTTAGATTTTCGAGAAATAATGTTATTTCAACAGTATTTACTGTAATAGTATTATAAAATTGGTACTTCGTCGAAGAATATGCATCAACTTTTCTACATGTACTTACTACCTCCATATTCACTTTGAATAAGAAATCATGTAATATTTTGCTTATATGTCTTTGTGCATCGAGTAAAAACCATAAAAATGCATTACAAAAATATGTATACGTTTAGTTCACTAAACTTAATTATTCGATTACCTGGTTTAACATGTTTTAAATCCGGTCTGAAATCTTCTGCTAATAAAACGGTGAGAATGGTCTCAGCTTCAGCTTTGCCTAATTGATTTTGTGCAATAACGTGTAATTTATTAGTTCCTTGCAAAGCAGGACAACGACTCATTTCTAGATAGTTTATTGCACCATCACTATAAATTTTTGTAATTGAATCCTAGAAGAAACAATGATAAATTTTGATCAGAAGTATGTTTGATATAAGCATCAGGTAGTCTTCATACTTTTCATGTTATACGGAAGCTAGATTTATAGATTTTAGACAATCTAGGTACATAGTTCCCAGAGTCAAAATTGTTTCGAAGATAAATTTCCTATAGATATGTAATATCCCTGTGTAAAGTTTTAAGGTTAGTAGTTTCTAATTTCGTCCTTATATTCTACAAAATCTTGGTTTGTTTGTCTGACAAAACATGTTGTTCTGATGCTCTTTTGTTAATTTGGAGAGTTAGATCAATATGTTAAGATATCTGTATGCGTGTCAATTTATCAAGGGTTCATTGAGAATATTAAAAGAAACCAATAACACAATAGTAGTTGCTGATTAATCACTTTATCTGTTATAGTTGTTACATAAAACTAGAAATGTTTAGTAACTTAGGTTTTTACTCTCTCTTGCAACTGAAATTACCAAAATATTATTAAAACTCCCAGATATTTGGTGAATAAGTAATGTGTCATGTTTACAATCACTTTAGGACCTTACTCATTTTCAGTACATCTAGATGCAGTAACCAATATGAAGACATTATTTTTTCAAGCGAATGTTAGTTAGCAGCTCAAATCAACTAAGCCCCAATAACCAATTTTTTTATCCACACGCGTCATTACCAATTATATTAAAACACTATAACTCCTAATATTTTAGATAACATTGGAACTTATTTATTTGCGTTAAATTTATGTCACTAGGTAGTATTGGAATCAAATTAAATTGCCAATTCATAAAACGTACTTGTTCAATTGGTTCATCATTCAGATACCAAGTCAATTGTGGTGTTGGCTTGCCACTAACACGTACTAAAAATTTAACTGGAGAACCTTCACCTATTGTAGCAGGTTGAGGCTTTACGTCAAAGTTGGGAGCTGAATCAACTTCTTCATCTTCTATGTACCTGTATTCATCTCCATCTCTGAAAAGGTCATTTAAAGCTGTTAAATATTTCACTTTACTTAATAACGCATAAAGTATATAGTTAAATTTTATGAGATGAAGAAAAGTCATATGGAAAAATCAAATTTTCTATACTCTTACGGCTGGTCGACTTCCTCAATAGCCTTTATTAGATTGTAACCTTCTGAACCTTGTAGGAGATTGCTGTGTGTGATTACAGATGCACTAGGATTACATCTAATAAAGAAAAACAAATGAAAACCCCAGTTATGTAGATCACATAAAGGATTCGTAGTTTTCCGTGTTAACAATATATGATTTATAAAACTGGATCATATAAAAGTGTGCAATATCAGGAATACATTAAATCAATATGGCCTATTAACACTATATAAGTAATTATAAGTAGTTCAAATATGTGCAAAAATCTAACGTGCAGTCTTGACGTGATTTTGATCTTAGACTACTATAAAATCATTGATTGTCTTGCTTAAATAACACAAAGTTCTTTTTTTAACTGTAACATATATTCCACTAATCTCTTTGTGAACTCCACATTATACAAAATAATTGGTCAGTCTTATTTACGGTTTGAGCCTACAATTTGTTCATATCTGGCCATACATAAATCAGAATAAAATATTTGTCATCTAAAATTTTGTTTATCACTAAATTTACATTTATCAGATATCTTACTTATTTTAAGTCACAAATAATTGAGTAGTTTCTATGTCAAAGACCACAGAAAATGAAAATGTATTCAACATTATGAATTACATGTGGATTAGGTCTATTGACTTACTATTTAACAATGAATTATAAGTTTTCTCTTTTTTCGTGTGTGTACAAAGCAATTAACCTTAAATCATCAGGAAAACATTTACGGTCGACAACATAAATAATGTTTGCATTACGCATTTGTATACCATGTAATTAACCTTAAATATACATTAACAAATTCTGGTTTGTCGATAAAATTAATGGTAGGGAGATAAATTTCAGCTATATTCTATTTCGAATAAATCAGAATAGTACTATTTTTGTTAATGATTATAACTTAATATCAGTGTGTGGTGATAAAAAAGAACATTGAAATCTAATTAAGGATTATTGATTTCATATACACGTGCTTTATGCTCGTCATGAAGAGGTTACACAACCATGTATCGTAATCAATTATAGCATACAATCTAGTGTTGTGATCTTTCCATCAAGTCAATGGCCTTTTTACATTTCTTCACGCGATTAAGCCTTATATATATATATATATGAGTATGAAGCGCTTTGGTGATAAATTCGTGAAAAACATTCTTACATTTGAATTTCATGTTTATAACTAAATATCTTTTCTTCAAAATGTTCTAGTTAACTATGTGCCTGGGCTATAAATTATGACATATTTATAATTAAATAAGAAAGATTAGTTCAGGGAAGAGTTCTCTTTTCGGCGAATTCATTTTCAAAGCTGTACAATCGCAAATATATATATTTATTTTTTTCAGTATTATTATCATTCTGAAAAAAATAAGTATATATATTTGCGATTGTACGGCTTTGAAAATGAATTCGCCGAAAAGAGAACTCTTCACTCAACTAATCTTTCTTATTTAATGTCTTAATGGATGTATTCCGTATTTATAATTCATGGGTCCAGAAGTTGATTAAACATAGCACTAGATTTTTTTTCTTTTAACCAAAAATTCAATAAATAATTGCAGCAACTAGTCTTTAAACAATAACTTTCTTTAATATTTTCAGTTTTAACTATTTTCAGATATTTTTCTAACTGAATAATACAGCTGATGCTTTTAGGAAGGTAAGCTGGCTTCTTTTTTTTAAAAAAAACTCTTAATGGTTTGTTTATATTGGTACCGTGAGAATAACGTAGAATTTCAGTTTCAAAAAAATTATTATAATCGTCTTACTTAATATTTAAAAATAAAACAAGCTACTTTCAATATTGTGCAGTACATGACTTATGTTATAAATCACCTCATTTCAGAAATCTCGGTTTATTAAACGATCATTCTTTTCATACAAAGACCTATATGATGAATCCATTTTGTAATTGTTTATCATTAGAATGATTCTAAAACTAATTACTGATATCATTTTTTTTTAAAAATGGATATACTTAGATACTTTTAACGTAAGCTTGTGAATGCTTATTGATTTTGTGCAAAATATTTATTCCTTTATTGTCCAAATATCATGAATTATCTAATTTGTGGTTGTATAGTTTGAAAGTTTTGGTGTATATGCTCTAAAATGTGTGTAAGTGTGTGTATGTGTATAACTGTGTAATTGTTTCAAATCCAGATAGGTATTTAGATTGTTAAAAAAAGAGAGAAGGAGAGGAAATTTCTAAAATGAATTTGTCCCTAATGTAGAATACCATATTGACATTATAACAAAGACGATGAAAATAAAATAGGAAAATTTAAACAGTGCAAAAATGTAATCATCTTATAAATGTTATGAATAATTTTGGAGAATTTCCTTGTCTTACGAATAGTGCTGATACAGAAATTTTTATTTGATGAAAAAAGGATAAAAACAAGTGAAATAGTACATAAATGGTGTTATGGACAAAATATTTAAAGTTTCCTCTAATCTAGATAATTATTCATATATTTTTGAACTAAGACAACGTATATTAATGGTCTCATTAATAGCTCATTCATAAACATCATAATAACTGACAGAATATACATCTGTCAATAAACGAGAAATGCTAGAAATTTTGGAATTTATGTATAAGGACGACTGACACAAATTTGAAGGAATTAACATTTACTTCCGGACATATCTAGCCTCAATGATTTTATGGACGGTTTCTCTGTTTTTTATCTGTTCACATAGACTTATCACATCATTGTAAATTCATAAATATATTGTCAGTGTTTAAATATCCTTTTGATGCTTATGGATGATCCTGGATAAAATAATTTCATTAGAAAATTCCACCTACATATGGTGATGATTGTATAACTTGAATTATCAAAATATTTAAGTCAGGCAGCGATATTCGTGATTGTCGCTAGAATAGACATCAAATTTAGAATACACAAATCAACTACTGATACGTATCTCAGTATGTCAAAAATATTAATTCTTTTTTCAAATGAAAGACGATAAATCCTCCTACATTTTTCAACTACATATTATTAAAGAATAACAATATGGTTAGCGTATATTTACATAAGTTTGGCGAAAATACAAGGAGCAGATTTTCACTTAAGATACTCTTAACATAATTTGTGTAGATAAATGTCTAAAAACTAATATCTATGAGATCTTAAGTTGAGATTGAAAATTTTAACTTTTATTATTATTATTATGACAGTCAATAATCATATTGGAAGATATATAATTTTGTTCATTGCACTGACAAATGATCTATACAAAATTCGGTGTGAGCTTTTTCTTTCGCATTTACATTCAGTTTGATTGACCAATGTATAAATTTCAAATAATGAACTCTTAAATTCACTTGGTACTGTTTACTTGAATCTTCACATTGATGTTTAAGATTGTAACCGATCAGTCTCTTATTGACATATGTGCATACTGTGCGTATTGCCTCGATATTGCTTTAATTCACAAGCATTCTAAGCAAAGGTGGGTGGTGGCTATCAGTGGAATCTAGGACGCGCGTTTCGTTCTATTTAGGATGTATCTGCATCTCAGAGTTGATGTTCACTCCTGGATACGACTGCTAGCCACTATCCATATTTGCATATAATGCTTGTGAATTAAGGTAATATCGAGGCAATCCTCACAGTATGCACATATGCCAATAAGATCAATTTCAATCATAAACAACGATGGAAAAATTCAAGTAAACAATAGCAAGTGAATTTGAACTTGACTCTATCGCACAAACAAGTGCTTATCAGGACTCAGCAGCTAAGTTGATAATGCGATGTCATTTGAAGCGAACGGTACTGGTTTCGAGTCCCAGAGTGATCATCAAGTCTGAGGTGCAGGTACATCCAGCTGACGAGCCCCAAAATGATTGCACTGCTAGCCACTTTCCATTTATGCTTATAATAACTTTTAGGTATATATTTCATCGAATAAAAGTTTTTACATAAATCACAAATGTGGTTCTTTTAAAGTAATCATGTAGTTTGTAATTTTAGTTCCATAACATTCTTAGTTACAAAAAATGATGCTCATGTTACAAAGTTCATGATTCGTTTCGGTATTAATATTTATTGATAATAATCTGCAAAATCAGTTGTATTCAGTTCACCATGTTTCTAAATCATCAAAACTATACTTTCTCACTACAATATTTTACGAAGCTATCTTGTCACATATATAACCACATTTAAGCATTTAAAAAGCTGATAAATGTTTATTAAACTAAAAATATACTCTTGAGAATGGAATTTCATTTTTATAGACAAGTTAAAGGCAACTTACAAAACTTGTACATGATTACTTTCCACTTGACCAGCTTTGTTTTCTACCCGACACCAATATTCACCGCTATCTTCAGGAATAGTATACAACAAATCTAATATGGCTAGTCCTCTTTCATAAGCAACCTTGAATCTTGTTCCACTTGTTAATAAATTACCACTTTTAAACCTAAAATGATTTATAGATTATTGTATCTTAGTATATATAGTTAAATATACAAAAAATGTCATAGTAGTCTATAGACTAAATAAAGCTTAAGTGATAGTTCATATTTTGTTTGTCAGAAATGTATTTCATGTATAAATGTCACATACTTTGAAAAACAAAAAAGAATTAATACACGTAATAATTTGAAATCTCTTTTCATATGACACTCATTTATTATATCACCATACTGCAATGTTGGGTAGTAGTGATTTAATCTAATAAAGCTGATATATTTAAGAATAACCGAAATATGGCAAACTGTGTCGAATCATTGTTAAATGAAAATGAAAAATAAACTATTACTCTGAATGTTTATAAAATATTTAGTTTACCTAGGAATAGTAAAGAAATTATTAAGTTAATGTCTTAAGAAATACACATGAGATGTAGTTTGACAGTGCAATCTTTCTTTTTAATATGAATGATACCACAGTGACTATTTTAAAAATTGTTAAGGAATATACCAAGCTAATGAATGACTTAAAATGATCAATGAGATTTTCCCAAACTATGAATGATAAGGACATATAAACGATCAGTTTAATGAATTTATGTTTGTATGCTCTTCCTGAAAGTTATGACACAACTATGTGTGTTATTTATCATGAAAAAATTGAAGCTAATTATGTTACATATATTTGAGTTCAGTACAATAAATCACCAAAGACAAAATAATTAAAGCAAAGTAATAATAAAACAGACTAACCATTCAACAATAAGTGAAGGATCAGCAGCCGGTTCTACTTGAACATCAAAGTGAATAGCAGTCCCTTCCTCAATTTCACCAACTAATTGTGGTTGCTGAATAATAACAGGTGCTTCATGTGGACTGTCGTCTTCCCACACGGTACCACGTGGTGCATGTAGATTTGCTTCTATGGCTTCGATTGCTAGTAGACCTTTAAAAAAAATAAAACTTGAAATTACCACAATTCCTCAGCATCTTATTTATATGACTTTTACACCAGATAGATAACTTACCTTTTTCTTTGTCACCTGGAAGTTGACTTGCAGCGATTATACTTCCAGTAGCTTCACATAATAAGTTTGAAGGACCACAATCAGCTGATCCATATTCTGTAGAAACATGACAAGTGTATGCACCTGTGTCGTTCGGTTGAGCATAATGAATTTTCAAACTGGCTATTCCAAGTTCTAATCTTCCTGTGATTCGAGAACCTTATTTAAAAAAAGATTTGAAAATTCGATTATTCCACTAAGTAGTGTTAACAACCATTTATTTGGTTTTAAAACTAAATAAGAATACGCCAATACATAGTTATTTCCATGACCATAGAGACTGTAGTGTCAGTTACTTATTCTAGCTTCTGGACAGGACAGTTTATTCATTCCTCTTGAGTCACGTTTTGATCTTGTTAATTATTGACTTATCAACCTTGACTGTTTTTATTTGAGCGTATGTGTGTACACTTCTTATCCTATTCATCACACGTCTGTAACATATTTTTATCTGGCTATAAATATTGATTAACGCTTGACTAATAGAGAGTTGGCTCAAACGCCATCTCCGTTCACTTGTCTTTGCTTCGTTCTTCTAATTGTTTGTTCAAATAAATAAGTGTACAAAATATATACATTCAAAAAACCATCCTCGTATTTGGTTTATTTAATCTCATTATTTACTAACGCGATTCAAGTCGATAATTATATACGAGGTTAGGTGATATGTGTACTTCAATAGCAATCAGCATAGAATCCAATTGGAGTCAGATCATGGGCCTCAAAAAGACTATTTGAATTGTCAACAATGTGCATGTATTAAATTAATTACTTTTCAACGAAAAATAGAATGTAAATTCATTCTAACTGTTCTTTACTCTGAACGTTTTTTATTCAAATCTTATTTTGACATAAACCAAATTAGTAGTTATTCAGAATTGCTACTTAAATTACTTAATAAGTCATGCAACTCAATACCCGTTACTGCACATGAAAATAGAATGAAGTTATTACCGCTTAAGATTTTGTACAATTTTTCTCAAATCAATCAGTTAAATAAGTAAATGGATATGTCGTCAGATCAATAATAAATCCATACTGCCGATTGTTCATATTATATAAATGATGCTATTCAATGACTGATTATATTGTATTCTTCTATTATCTATCCCTTCAAACTAGAAATAGTGAGCTTGTTATAACTTGTGGCCCTGTGCCCTATTAATATGTAATTTAATGATACCACCTATTAGAGAAGAGTGATTTGTTGACCGGACCAATGACATATAAATACCATCGCAAAGTAATAGTCTGTGGCTCAAAATAAAGCTTATAATAAGAGGCACATGACTGTGCATAGTTTAGCTACTTAACAATTATACTATATATATATATATATATATATTAGTCTTATTAGTCCATAAATAGTTCTCAAGAGTTACCATTCACAATTCTCGTTGGTACATTACAGAGCGAAATCGCTAGACAATTGTATTTTACTTCATTTTGTTATAGTTTTTAAATGAAACGATTGAACTACATTTATTTATTGTGTTTGGATACCAATATAACTGACGATTTTATATCATTAACAGATTAATATAAAAACAGTCATGAAAAATAAACTGTTATATTTATAAGTATCATTACCAAGGTTTGACTTCGAATACCATTGATCATTAGGTGGATTATTAATAATAATAAACAATAATGAATTTTTATTCCTATTTTTATTGATTTTTATAAGATTGCAATATTGAATAAATGAAGTTAAGCATTAGTATGAAAGTTACTAATTCCTTGATTCATAGAGGCGTAATGCGTTGAATAACCTTTATGAAATATATATATCCAATTCCTGTTGATTTTTAAGTCATTAGTTTGTAAATGTAGAATTATACGTTTATCGATTGATTTTTATTGTTACAATCTAATGTAAAGGTATTTGTTTGGCTCGTTGGGTGATAAAACTATTTCTATGTCAGTTATCTGAATACTTGGTCTGCTTTAACGATTCGTTGAAATCTTACACTTTCGAGAATTTTCTTAAAATTTTTGTATTAATTTTTATTGAGTATATGATGGATTGGCGACTGAATGTTAGGAAGGTTTGTTGAATATGCTGAATACTATTATTGTTGTTGTTATTAAACTACTAGTAAATACAAAATATAGTTTACAACTAATAATCACTTTTTAAGTGTTATCTTACACTATTAATTTTTGAAATTATATCAACATAAAATAAGAATGGCTTTCAGTGATTATTTATACCCATTTATTAACCATTTGCTCTAAGAAAGCACAGTGTGACTAAAACAATAACAATAACCATGATAAGATCTATCCTCATTGTGTACGAAGATGTACACGTTACTTTCCATAAATCGTGTCTTCAAAATCAGTTTATGGGTTAAAAATAGGTACTATGTTCAATATAGCTTAAATATAATGTAGTAAATCAGTTTAATAATACTAAATCAGGTTACATGAAAATTTCTGTTTAAATTATTTACCTGTTTTAACAACCTGACCATCACGTTTCCACTCGATAACCAAACGATCTCCGTTTCCACAGTCAACAGGTACAGAAAAAATTACAGGTTCATCTTCACTAACTTGGACTGAAGAAGGTTCTAAATTCGCTTTGAAAGATGGTGGTATACCCTGAACAGTTGAGTTGATCATGCTAAAATAAAGTTTTATTTTGGTAAAAATGATTCTCGTCTATTAATTTAGGCTGAGGGAAAATATCAACTGTTTATAATGGACTTAACTACAGAACATACTATTTTAAATGTTAAAATCTATTCAATTAGATTTGTATCTTTAGATTTAAATCTAAAGGTAGCTGTAAGTTTTGAAATTTTAAGTGATAATTTATAATGGTATTTTAGAAAACGCTGTACATCAAAAAATGTGACCAGCTATTTCACTAAGCTTTGAAAGTTTTCGATAGTTCATAGATTTCATTTGAAAGAAATGTCGTATATTCTTAGATGCCTTATTATGATTTCTATGCTATAAATCATGTTCAATTAGCCTACAATATACTTAAGTACTTAACAGTATTGTTTCAAAATGAAGCAAACAGTGCCTAGCTTTGATTACCCTGAGTATGAAGGTTGCTTATTCCTCATGACCCTCATACTTAAAAGAATGGTTTGCCATAAGATCGACTTTATATTAAGGTTCATTTTCAGTGAGCACTTGTCACTAGAATAACTACTAAGAAGTAACTTTATCTAACACCACTTAACAAATGCAAAATAAAATGATAAATAATGTAAGATGAATGGGACATACTAATCATAATCCTCGCCAGGTTCCTCTAGCTGTTTCAAATGATTTATAGATTGTTGATCCAGAATCGACTTGGTAACAATTCGTTCTTCTGGTTGGCATCTAAGTGTAAAGGCAAATAGTGAAATAACGAATAACGCAATGCAATTTATTCACGAAATTTAAAATTTCGTGTGCCAGGTTTTTAGTCACATTGTCAACCGGATCTACATATAATTTCACTGTATTCAAAGCTGAAGTAAACAGCATAATTCAAAGCGCAGTCTAGGAATTAAATATCAGGTAATGAAACAGCTTTATTGGTTCAAAAATAATTTCATTTGGTTATTTTTTCTTTAAAAACCTCTAAATGAATGTATTTTTTTTCAAGAAGATTTTCAGTCAGGTTCTCAAAAGAGTCAATGTTTGTGACTTCAGTATTAAGTAGGAAAGTTCCCCTATTTTCGAGGAAATTTTCTTGAAATTCCAATGCGGGTTTGTTGAAGACCATTCGAACTCATAGAATCTAGATTCCGAACATTCGGCTGATTGCCTAACGACATAAATTATCGCTTTAATCTAAGATAAATTATCTTTTATTCAAAGCAAACACAATAATGCTATATGATGTTCTTCAGTCAATTATTTTCTGAAGTAAAATGATTGAAATTTATGGAAACAATGAAAATAGATCAAATTAGAAGTTGGAATCCGTTGAAGACTAGAAATAAATATGATTGAATTAAATAATTACCTCAGTTCCACAGGTTGGCTCTCTGTATGGCCAAGCGCATTTGTAGCTACACAAACATACAACCCACTATCTTCGGCTAAACAGTATCCGATTTCCAGAACGATTAAACCTCTGTCAAGGACAGCGTTAAAACGGCTTCCTGTACAAATAAACAAAGATCATTAAATGATATATATCTGGGTTCATTAAATAATAAAATCCTTGAAGTTTCATTATCACTAGTTAAATTTATATTTGATGAATCATTATACTTAACAAAATAAGTACCTGTACCAACTGGTTGTCCATTTTTCATCCAATCAACTTGTAGTGTTGAATCACTTGTTGTATTTAAATATGCTTCTATTCTGACAGGTTCTCCTTCAAGAACATCACTACTACTAATCACCGGTTGTTGAGTAAAATGTGGTGCACTCTTTGGCTGACTTCTCTGATCACGTTCATATTCTTTTGTAGGTGCACTAGTTGCTTGATAGAGATCAGCAGACTGTACATCTACGTGATCTTGACTTGGATCAATTTCAGGTATTACACTACAAAAAGTATTGAAAGATTAATTGATAACTGCATAAAGCGTAACAACATTACATGATATTAAAAGATTAACGTTACCCATCATGATAAACATAGGTTTATCGTTAAACGTTCCATATTAATTCATTGTTTGAAACGTAAGACATACCGAAACCCTATGGAACCTACTAATTCAAAGAAAAACACTGAAAATCCTTTGTTGCATTAAATATGGTGCATGTAAGTTATCTCAGTATGTATTTTTAGAATATCATTACAATCACACAATCAATATTCTTCTGAAGAAGCTGGTATATTTATTAAGTGTTCAGGAATGTTTCGCGTGATGGAGCAGGCAAGCATTATAACATTAAACAGTCTGAAGATAATATTCTTTATGTATCAAAGATGTAAACTGATAATTGATAATTCTGGAACATTCATTTAATCAACTCATTGTTTTATTTTAGACTACTCTGTCGTTAACAGTGAACTATTTTGTCAGCCATTTTTCTTAAAGGTCGTTTTAAACGTTAGTTAGTAAACATCAATACATACTGGGTTCTTATTGTCCCAGATAGATGTTTGATACTACACCAATTTATTTAAACATGAGTTTTGCTAATATATTCAACATATACAAAGGGAAAAGCAAGATTCTCCGATGCAATACAGCTTGCAACAATCGAATCACATTTCACGGAGAAGATTTGGAAGATGTAAAAATCAAATACCAAAGAACACAATACGCCGAGAAATGGAGGCAGACATAGGAAGAGTAAACAACAATTGGATAGAAGTAGAAAAGAAGTTCCAGAGCAGAGTGGGTTGGAGAATGCTGGTCGGTGGTCTATGCTCGATTGGGAGTAACAGGCGTAAATACGTAAGTTTCCTAATATATACGTGCACAATCACGTCACTCTTGGACATCAGAATCATTGTATTCAACTAATGCATCTGAGATTTAAGAGAATTATTTAATGTATCGTATATTGATGAACGTGTCTATATTATTACTTGAATATGAAGCATATGGTTTGCTAATGGATAGTTTGATATTCTATTGAAAAGAGATTCTTATAATGTCTTGATTAGAAACTAACTTCCACTTTTTTTTTAGCCTGAAATCTAAACCAAACCAAAGAATTCAGAACTTTTCATGTTCTTTTTTGTTATTTGTAGTTTATACAAAAAGATTGAGGAAACTAAGTTCTTCAGACAACAAATAATCCATAAGGATATTTCATGTTTTAATTTTTGTTGACCTGACAATGTGTTTGTAGGTCATTTATGTTAAAAACAAGTATTGGATGACTCATTAGAATTTATGTCACTATTCGTGCCGACAATAGACATTTGTTTTGAACATAAAGATTTGCTTGTGTAAGTGAAAGCACGTCAATTAATAATTGTATAGTAGTTTCGTGTTCTTGCGAAATACAAATACAAACGTCAATCATCACGGCTTAATATATCACTTGTTTCTTATACAGTATGGTCAGATCATAGTGACCAGTAGCCCCTAAATACCCTGATACGACCGAAGGTGAGGAGAGTCAGCTCTCCCTCTCGAAATGCTCATATATGGCCACGCGAGGGTGCTGTTTCCGAAATTGAGAGGACGAAAAGCGAATATCCGATGCTTTAACCGGGTTCGTGGACACGGAGAGTCCACCTGGAGGAATTGGAAAACCCTGATTCCAAACCAATGTCATACAGTAACATTTGTAACTTGCAGTTATTCTTTGAAACTTAGTCATATGAGATTTTAAGGATATATTACTTATCACAAATGGCAGGGTCTACAATTCGAGTATTCATTATAGGGTTTTGTGTAGTTTACACAATTCCATACATTTTAATTCACCTCATGAAGTAATGTTAGTTAGACGACCACTAAAATCCTGGAACCATTAGACGGCCGTTTCATCCTAGTATGATGCTATTCAAAGGACCTTCAGTCTCTCACAAGCGTCTAACCTCTAGACCTCTGAGGTGGAATCCAACGGTGTCAATGTCTAACTTACACTAATTTGCGATATTATGCAGCCATCTTTCATAGCCTGTAGTGGATAGCCACTTGCTTATTAATGAGGTGAAGTTTAAATTCAATTGGACTCAGTAGCTAAGTGGATAACGCGATGGCGTTTGAAACGAACGGTACTGGGTTCGAGTCCAAAGTTGAACATTAACTCAGATGCAGGTACATCGAGCTGGCGAGTCCCAAATAGGACGAAACGCGCATCCTGGATTCCACTGATAGCCACCACCCACCTTTGCTTAGAATGCTTGTGAATTAAGGCAATATCGAGGCAATACACATAGTATACACATATGTCAATAAGAGACTGATCAATTGTATTCCTAAACATCAATGTGAAGATTCTAGTAAACAATACCAAGTGAATTCAAACTGCTGAATTTTATCCGGAATTTCCTTTTCTTTAAATAATAAAATTCCTAACAACGAACTTTTGGCACAGTTGATTAAAATTTCACACAATGATGACTAAGCTAACTTGATAGTGACGTTGCAAAAAACGGAGAGTCGAAATATAAAACTAACATATGAGAGTTCTGAAAAGAAGAAACTACTAATAACGACCACATATCATGGAGAAAATTGTTTACATTATAGAACATTTTCCATTGCATAACGGCATCACATTTAGAATGCGGTTTGATTAGTAATTTTTCAGAAAGACTAGTTGTTGTATCCATATTACTGATTCTCTTAGCCTATTTTGCGCGTAGGTACAAGCTAAACTTCAGTAATGAATTATCTCTTGGTCGAAATGTAGTGTGTATGCTCACAGCAGCTAAGTTATTTCAGATGGACCTTTCGATCATTCTTAAGTACCCTTAACCGTTGCTTCTCGAAAATCGGATTAACTTTAGCCGGGTGAATGAAAGACGAGATTACAATTGAAATTATACGATCAACTTGAATCTTAAACAACTAAACAGAGAGTTCAAATGACTGACAACAATGTAAACTCTAAATATTCTACAATACATAGGACAGGAGTAAAATGTTTACAGTTGTAAATGCGCTTCAAAATTAAAAGTTACTTCTTAATATGTTTATGCGTTTGGTTTATTGAAATTGTACTATCGTTGCATAATGATCATAAAAACTGTTATACAAACTGCTCACTAAAAATGAACATTGATAAAAATTTAAACAAACTCTGATATATTTGTTATTCTTACTTTACAGGAACTGCCTCACTTTGAGCATGGCCATATGGATTTGAGATGACGCAAAAATAAGTACCACTATCCTCTGGAATTGTATAGATGACATCTAGTGATGCTAAACCACGCTCACACATTGTATTGTAACGAGAACCTTGATAAATTAAATATAAAATATGATTTTATATTAAAAATAACTGACCAGTATAAAGAAATACCTTTTTTTTTCTACATTTTATCATCATCTATTAAAACAAATTAACTATTGACCAATATTGTATTATAGTAAGAGAGGACGGAGTGAGGAAATAAGTTAATGCACTTATATGTAGCTACAACAAACATCAACTAAACTCGGCAATCACTAGCTGATAGTACAGTATTTGATTACGTTTTATTAAGAGATTTAAAAAACCCTTCTTTATCAAATGATCACTCTTTGTAGGGATCAACATTAAATAAGTAAAGAGTAACCATTGAGTACCAAAAAATAACTACCAAGATATGGTAAAACAGTTGAAATTAATAAATTGACAAATTGTTGTGCACCGAATAGTTAGTGATCAAACAATCAAGCAGATAATTCACATTTTAAAAAATATGAATTACTTAATAAGTTCCTAACCGCTTCTATCCACCAAAAGATAGGTCTCATCAACTATCGAATATGATACTTTCTATTCCATAAATTGCTTAACATCTGGTATACAGTATCAACGTAAGTATGAAATAAATGTGGATGAAAACGAAACGAGATATGGAGACTTTTTCACAGAGAAATACTCATTTGGATGATGCCTACAATATTTCTTCAATATAGGTGAAAATTCCATCTACACTTTTGAAAAGACATTATCTCACAAGTCATTAATAAAAAGACCTTTCATTAACCTAATCAATTACGTTTTATTTATTACCTTACAGATATTGAGAGCATACAACTTTCTCAGTAGTTATTATGATGATAACTGCATAGAATTTGAATTAAGTTATGCGTTTTTAAATACCTGATATCGGAATGATGACAGGTTCGCAAAAAAAAAAGTAAAATATACAGAAAGGTGTACTTTTTTTATAAGTCAACCACTAATCAAAGTCATATATCATGTTTATTCCTAAGTACAATGAAAAGGAACTACATGAGTCGATACTGAAGTACGAAGTGAACTAAGGAACCTCCTATGTCAAATTAAAGTCTGAAGTTTTTTTGACTGAAGTGAAAAAAATTTTCGATTTTTTAAATGCTGTTTAATTTAAGATATCAACAACATGTGACAAATTATTAAGCTTCAATATTCGACTATAAAATTCAGATCCTCAAGTTACAGTTCTTTTTTTTGTATATAAAACACGTTATTGATCTTGATATGAAAGGTTAATCGCTAATTATTGCACATTTGATCACGCTTGTGACGCCAGTATCTTGACCTTCATGTAAATTCAATCCAGAAAAGTTTCAATTTTCATCTATCTACATTGCTTCAGTTACATTTATAATAAGATACTTGTGGTTCGGTATTTTTTATTTCGGTATCTGAATAAGTTTTATGACTATATTTTAAGATTACATTTTTTATTTCTCCGTACGTTAGATATGCATATTTCTTATTTTTTAGACATATTTTGGTAACCTGAAATATTGAATCAATCACAAATTGTATCCAACGCGATGTAGATTATTAATTTAGATCATGAACCGATCAATATTAGACCACCATTGAAAACCTGAAAGTTCTGGATGGCCGTTCCGTCCTATAGTGGGACTCTTCAGGAGTGAGCACCCACGACCCTTCATCCGAGGTTCGAATCTAGGACCTTAGGTTTCTGGACTCTGAGGCGGACTCCAATGTTATTGATGTCTAGATGATGATTAGTCCTGGATACTATTTCTTTACATTTTTAAAGCCTGCTATTAAATAAGTGACTAGTCATATGGTTAAGAATAATGGGAAGAATTTTTCAACAGAAATATATCAATAGTTCGTTCACGGTTATATAATATACCCTTGTGGGCCAGAGTAATTTTACATTGGTTTTCAGGAGAACCAGACACCATCCGGACTTTCACTTAAAAACCCAAACAGTACAGCTCAACCCCGTTTAGCGGAGGAACCAGACATCGTACAGGCTTTAACGCTACAATCTGAATAGTACAGCTCAATCCTGTGGCGCAACCACACAAGTACCAAGCACCCTGGTGGACCATTCGCACCATTCATATACACATTCACATCACGTGTATAGTTATTCCGATCAATGATCGCGTGAATCAGTTATGAACAGCACGAACAGGCCTAATTTGACCTATTCCGCTTACACGACAGTCAAACTCGCTAATGTTAGCAATGGTGGCATGCCTTACAATGTCCAAATGACAATGGCCCTCGGGAACACTGAAAATCAACCACCAGTATGAATGAAATCGGTTAACCAGCAAACCAATTTTTGCATGAACAGTCAGCAAAACTTGCCAAAGCAATGCCGAACCGTCCACAATAACATTGGCGAACCTCCAGCCTCATATGAGACCTTCAGCTCTATATAGCCATATAGCTTATACTGCATGCAACACATGTATAGGGTAGTAAGTGAAATAGCCCAGCCTGAAGCGTTAGGGCTTAAATAACGCTTAAAACCCACTGTCTGATGTCGGAATACTATAACTAGACCACCAAGATCATTTTTATCGCATTTGCGAAATTTTCATTTTTCCGACTTTTCAGACCCTGAGTTAGGGGTAGTATCCCTATCAATAGTCCGTACTAAATAATATTTAAAAAAGACACTCGATTCTAATATTATGATAATTTAATCATAATTACTCACCTGCGCTTAAGGCAACGCCATCTTTAAACCACTGTACTTGTAAATCACCTGGAGGAGCTATTCGTAATTCTAAATGAACAGGTTCTCCTTCTGGTACTTCACCACCGCCAGATAATGGGCCTAAGATTTGTGGGGGATTTCCAGGAGTAGATGCTTGATAAGCAGTGGCCGGCATAGCGACAGTTGACATGATATTGTTATTAATAAAATTCAGAATGCAAGTTCAACTATTAACTAAGAAAGAAATCCACAAGTATGGTGTATAATTCGGTGATGTTTTCGGCCTGCAATTTTATTAAATGAAATTTAATTATTTCAGTCAGCCAATCTGATGACGGTATTTTACTTCGGGAAAAAGGCACAAAATGAATTTCACAATAAATTTACACATCGCCATATGATATTACAATTGTATGTGTGCATATTAGGGCAAAATAAGTCATATAGAATACCTGCTTATTTTAGTAATAAGAAGAGGTAGACTGTATAATCAAAATTCATCTCATTGTCTGTGTGTGTCAAGATATCTATGTGTTTACATGGGCCCAGTACAAATAGGGAGATTGGTCAAAACCTCGTAATCGATACTGTGTGCATTGAGTGTCAAAGAATAATAGTAAAAGAAAGTAGGAGGTTAAATTTTGGAAATTTTATGAAACATTACTTTATAGGCAGTTGTAATTAAGCTTACAACATATTTAAATATCATGGCATTTCCTTATTTCATTTGGAAGATAAGTAATTAATAAGTTTTATCCAAACAACTATGTTTGCTGAAGTGTAGAAATGACGGTAAAATAAACAGGCTGATCTTATTTTGAAATAGAATTTTGGTTAAATCACATTAGTTCATTAGTTGATTTATTTAGATGATTATCCAGCATTTCGGACCATATAATTTACCCTAGGAATTTTCCTAAAATGTATTATACATTTGATTGTTCAATAATCCTATGAAATATGGCCAACCAGACGAACGTCATATTGAGAAACAGAATTAAAACAATTATTGTTAACTTCCTCTTGCTTCAATATCAATTTCTTGTAATTCTGACATTTTTCTTCTAATCTACATAAATTTCAAGTGGTATTTTCGAACTCTTCAAACCCCTACAAAGACATTAGGTCACTGCAATAGGTTGGAAACTTTAATCAAGAATACAATTCTGTAATTCACATCGTTTAGTAGGTTGTGCTGGTTATGTTTAGTGTTACTAATCCATACTAAACGGCAATCAGCTTCATATTACCTAATAAGCTTGACCATCAATAATTCAGGAGAATGAGAACAATAGTGTCTACCTGGTCACGAGTTGTGGGTGATAGAGATTTTTACCAAATAAGTGGACTTAATCTGGGATTTCATGAAAATAACTAAAAGTAAAGTGATACTTTAGCATAAAAGGAAATTCGCGATTAGATGTAATAAAAAAAATACACATTCAGTAACCCAATAACTCTCAACATTAGCTTAACTAGTAGCGGATGTGTTACAGGCGCTATTCAACACAAAGTAACATTTCCTGGATAATCAAAATAATCATTTTTGACGTGTCACAATAACGCGAAATTCGTATAAACATTCAAACAATATTCAGTGTGGCTCTATTGATCAACAATAATAAGGCTACAGTATCTTGTAGAGCTTAGAAACCATATAAACTCTGTCCACCGAGTTGAAGGAAGAATTATCACGCCTCATGATGAAAGCCCACATTCGTCAGTGGTTATGATACTGACGCCCATTCTAACAACCAGAACAACAATTCTTATAGGTACATGGAATGTTCAAACAATGTGGGAGACCGGGAAGACTAGTCAAATAGCAATGGAAATGAGAAGATAAAACTTGGCAGTTCTCGGAATCAGCGAAACCCATTGGACCCAAGCTGGATATGAAAGAGATGCTGCCATACTCTGGTCACGAAGAGAAAAATGCTCCACACACTCAGAGAGTTGCTGTGATGCTATCCGAAGAAGCATGAACTGCACTTATAGGATGAGAATCTCATGAATCCAGAATCATCAAAGCATCATTAAAAAAAGTACGGAATCACAATGAATATTATCCAGTGTTAAGGACCCACCATCGATAGCAATGATGATGATAAAGATCAGTTCTACTTGAGACTGCAATCAATCGTAGCGAAGTGCCTAAGAAAGGACTTGGCCTTGTAGTGTCAGTTATTATGCCAAGCCCATATACCTTATTCTAGCTTTCGGACGTCCCATTTTATTCATTCTACTCGAGCCATACTTTGACCTTGTTATTTATTCGCTTATCAATCTAGACTGTTTTTGTATGAGCGTATATGTGTGTGCCCATCTTATCCTATTAATCACATGTCTGTATCTTTATTTTGTCTGACTATAAATATTGAGTAACGCTTGACTAAAATGGAGTTGGCTTCTCAGCCATCTTCCCTGCGTGTGATTTTGCTTTGCTCTGCTTCATTCGCTTCATATACGAAATATATGTATTCACAAGTCGATTCTCGTTATTCGACTTATCTGATTCCGCTATTGGATAACGCGATTTAAGTCGACGATTATATACGAGAATAGGCGATGACAAACATCCATACGATCTTGGAGTCAGATCCATGGGCCACAAAAAATGGTGAGCCCTTCAACGAACATCTTCCGATCTAAACGAGGACAAAATCAAAATGACGGGTCTCAAAAGCCTTCCTGATGGGAGATCTAAACGCCAAAGTCGGAATGGACAACAATGTTTATGAAGATATCATAAGACGACATGGAACGAGAGATTTTCAAATCTATGTGTATTCAGCACATTGGTTATAAGTGGCACAACATTATCACACAAATAGATACACAAAGCTACATTGGTATCACCGGACCGCACCATTGAGAGCCAGATACATCATATTCGCATCAGTAAAAAATTCAGAAGGTCAATGGAAGACGTGAGAACCAGGAGAGGAGCTGACATAGATTCGGATTACCACCTGAGGGTTGTCAAGATGAAACTGAAGGTAAAGAAGAACTGGAAAACTGGACAAACAGCACTACAAAGGTTCAATAGAGCTTTCCTTCGAGATACTAACAAACTCAACCGATTTAAGATAGCTCTCAATAACAGGTTCCAAGCCTTACAGCATCTACTGAAAGAGGAAGAAACTACTGTGGACGACAACTGGAAAGCGATCCAAAAAGCACTAACGTCAATGTGTCAGGAGGTTCTGGGCCTCAAGATTCATCATCATAAGGAATGGATCTCCATAGAAACACTGGACAATATCAAAGAAAGCAAGAACAAGAAGACAGCAGTTAACAACAGCCGAACACGAACCGCGAAAGTAAAGGCACAACCTAAGTACACAGAAGCAAACAAAGAAGTGAAGAAGAGCATTAAAGCCGACGAGCAGAAATACGTAGAAGACATAGCGACGACGGCGGAAAAAGCTGCAAGAGAAGGAAATATGAATTAGCTTTATGATACAACGAAGAAACTAGCAGGGAGACATAGTAAACCAGTGAGATCAGTGAAGGACTAAGAAGGCAGGCCAATCACTGAAATTTAAGAACGGAAGAACAGATGGGTAGAGTACTCTGAGGAACTCTTGAATAGATCAGCTCCAGTGAATCCACCGGACATCGAAGCAGCACTCACAGACCTTCCTATGGCTGTCACGCCACGAACGATGAGATAAATCAGGATGGCCATCAGACAAATCAAGAGCGTAAAAGCAGTAGGACCTGAAAAATACCTTCTGAGGCCCTGAAGTCAAACATAGAGGTAATTGCAAAAATACTCCAGGGTCTATTCAGGAAGATTTGGGAGGAAGAACAAGTGCCGCTGACAGAATGGAAAGAAGGATAACTCATCAAATCTACCAAAGAAAGGAAATCTGAGCAAATGTCATAACTGTACAAGCATCACAATACTTTCAGTACCAGGAAAGGTTTTTAACAGAGTGTTGCTGAACCGGATGAAAGACTCAGTAGACGCCCAACTTCAACATCAACAGACTGGATCCTGTGACGGTCGGTCGTGCAAAGATCAAATCGTGACACAACAGACCATCGTTGAATAACCAATCGAATAGAACTCGTCACTATACATCAACTTCATTGACTGTGAGAGGGCATTTGACAGTGGGGACATGAGAAAATCATGGAATCTTCTTCGATACTATGGAGTACCTAAGAAAATCGTCAGCATCATCCGGAATTCATACGACTACATTGAAAAATGATGCATAGAGGACAGTTAACGGTGCATTTCACGTAAGGACCAGAGTCAGATGAAGTTGCCTACTCTCCCCCTTTCTCTTTCTCCTGGTGGTTGACTGGATTACGAAGACCTCAACAACTCAAGGGGAGCACGGAATAGAATGGAAAGCTTGCATGCAACTAGACAATTCGCACTTCACAGATGACCTAGCTCTTCTATCCTGCACACAACAACAAATGCAGGTCAATACAACCAGTGTAACAGCAGTCTCTGCATCAGTAGGCCTCAACAAACACAAAGGAGAAAGTAAGATCCTTAAACACAACACAAGAATACCAACCCAATCGCACTTGACGGAGAAACTGTAGAAGTGAAAAGTTTCGCGTATCTGAGTGGCATCATTGATGAACGTGGAAGATCTGATGAAGATGTAAAAGCTATAATTGGCAAAGCAAGAGCCGCATCCCTACAATTGAAGAATATATGGAACTCAAAACAAATTCCAACTAATATCAAAGTCAGGATCTTCAATACTTACGTCAAGACATTTCTAATGTACAGATCTGAAATGTGGAGAACTACTATAACTATCACCAAAAAGGTACAAGTATTTATAAATAGTTGTCTATACAAGATAATCAATGTCCGTTGACCGGATTCCGTCAGCAACAGTCTGGTATAGGCGAGAACAAACCAGATTCCAGTTGAAGAGAAAATTAGGAAACGATATTGGAAGTGAATAGGATATACATTGAGGAAATCACCAAACTGAACCACTAGGCAAGCGCTAACTTTGAATCTTGAAGTGAAGCGGAATAGCGGAAGGCACACTACCTCAGGAAATGGAAACAGATATGCAAAGGATGAATAGCAACTGGAACGAACTAGAAAGGACTGCCCAGGACAACTTTGGATGGAAAGTGCTGATGGTTGACCTGTGCTTCTCCACGAGGAGTAACAGGCGTAATTAAGTAAATAATAGACAATGTTCTTTATTTCATCAACAAAAACTTGATAATTTTGTACATTCTACTTCTAAACATAAAGTGGACTTCAGTATTCAGATGTCAATTCTCAGTTAAATTGTTATTTATTGTGATTTATTATATTTTTATTAAATCATTGATAATCTATAATAAATTACATTATGATAATTATAAAATTTCAAGAAATCCCATTGATGATTTAAAATGTTTGACATATGGATTTCTGTCAGCCGTCTGATAGATAAACATGTATCTAATGTTGTGCAACAAATGCTGAAAATGAGCATAAATGGATAGTGTTCAAATCAATTTACTTGTATTTCCAGTACGTAGATAACAATGTCATTCATATATTAGATAAAAGATCTACATATTATACCTCTTGAAGTTTACATGACACTTGAAGCCCTTGAAATAATTTTATGTTATATGTAGGTGAAATTTTTGTTAGTAATATCAGTGCTTGTATACGTAACAAAATGAGTGAAGCTGAAATTTT